TGGCAAAGCAATGTTCCAGGCTAATCCTAGACTAGTTAAACTTACTACGGTAAGTTAGCTCATTTCGAAAATCTTGCTGTAATTAATAGCCCATATAGGGTTAATGAAACTATTATACCTATATATACACATATAAAACTTTTCATTAATTTATACGATATTTCTTATTCTTGAAATTCAAGTTAAGTGAAATTTAATAGATTTATTCATCTACTTTTCTAATACGTTTCTTAGAAAATTATAAATTAAAATAATAATTTCATTAATTTATTTCTTAAAAAAAATTGCGACTTTACAAATTTAATTTACACCTTTGATAAAAATAATTGTTAGAGTAGAAATTTTTTTTACTTGTACATTGATTTTATAAACGAAAAATTAAATACAAATAACTATTTATTAAAATGTGAATAAATAACAAAGTATAACAAAGAATTATCATAATAAATAAAAACGTATACAATGATCATAAAACAATTAAATCAAAATTCACCACATAAAAAAGAAAAAACACAAATTAAATAGATTAGTTAAGAATGAAAAAAACATTTTAAAAAAATGGAAACTAAAAATATATTGAAATAATTGTAAAACAAAAGAGAAAAAAGAAAACATAAACTAATTAGATTAGTTAAGGAAAACATTTAAAAAATAAAAAAAATATATTGAAATGGGTGTAAAACAAAAAATACAAAAGAAAAAGCAAAGTTAATTAGATTAATTAAAAAATATCTAAAAGAATAAATAAAATATATATTAAAATAAGTGTAAAAAAAAAATAAAGACCGAAAGGACTCCATAGCTGCCCCTTTGTCACTTGGCAGATGGTTCCAGTCTATTTATCAAGCAAATAAGACTTACATGCCTTATACATGATAAATTTTTTCATGATTTTGTATTTTTGCCTATATATATTTTTTTTTTTGACCAGGTCACATTTGGTTTTGAACAAGTTCTTTAATGGCATATTTTAATAAACATATTAATTTTAGTGATACTTTTATTTATTATTGATTATAGCAATATATTATAATATTATGTTAAATTTATAATATATATTAAAAGTAAATTAATTATGTATATATATATATATATATGTGTATGTGGTATAGTTGTTCAAAAAGAAATTACATTTAATGTATAATCTTAAAAAATTAACATGCGATCTCAAACTAAATTATTTTAAATCTAAATTAAGTTTCTTGTTTAAAAAAAATAATAAGGAAAACACGTGTTATGACTATGACTAAATGTGCTTTCAACTTTAATCTGAACCTCACATATTAAATGCAAGTTAACTCTCAATCGCAGCCAGATTAATGAAGTATGTTAACATGAATTCAATTTAAGGTTTTAACAAAATTTAAAATTTTACAAATTAAATAATATGAGGCAAGATATTGAAAAACAATTTTTTGATGGAAAAAGATAAATTGTCATGTTCTATTTCATTTAGTACAACTCCATTGCCAAACCTAATAACATTCCTAATTGAGAGAAACTAAGAGTTAATAACTTTGATGGTCACTCAACTATCAATTGTTTTCACAGAAAGTTGCTAAACTTTCTTTTTCAACTCAAAAGTCACTCAACTATGACTTCTTTGCACATAAAGTCACTCAATTTTCATTTTCAATTCAAAAGTCACTCAACTAAGACTCCTTTGCACAGAAAGTCATTCAATTTATTTAATTATTTTTTCATTAAAATTTAGTGACATGAAATTTTAATTATTAACCAAAATTTTAAGAATCAAATAAAAAAAATTGATTTGGTTTGATTTTCCTTTATTCAATTTGATTTTTTTTTTAAATTTGATTATTCAGTTTTGTCAACAATTAATAACATAACCAAAGTTATATTTGTAATTTGAAAAAAATAACTCCTTCCATTCATTTTAGTTGTTATGTTGCTTTCTAAAAGTAAATTTGATTAAATTTCAAAGATTATATTAATTTGATATTTTTTTTAGAAAAATAGATATTAAAAAATTATACGAAAATTTCTCTAAATTGCAATTTTTATATAACAATATGATAAAAAATACATATTATAATGGTAGTCAAAACTCTTATCCTTTGACTAAAAAAAATTCATAACAAGTAAAAGTGGACGGAGGGAGTAATATGATACTATTTCCAACAATTAATATTTTTAGGTTCTCAAAAATAATTTAGAGAACAAATACTAATTAATATTAAAAATAAAATGAAGACAAAAATAGTAATCCATTTTCATTATAAAATAGTGCCAGCACATATTGTGAAATCGCCGTAGACCCACACCCATTTCTTCTCACTCGCTCTCTCTCCAAAGTTCCTCTTCTTCCGGCGGAGCATCACTGCCGGAGCTTGGTAAAACGCAATCCGGCCCTGACATTTTTCTCTTTTCCCGATCATACCGTCGGAGATGGAGGATTACTTGAAGGTGTTTGTGGAGGAGACATCGTTTTACAATCGTCTCGTTTTAGGTACACTGTTGCCGGAATCATGGTGGGGACCACTTCCTCACTTGCTTCAAGGATGGCTCCGTAACTACATTGGCGCTCTTCTAATTTACTTCATCTCCACTTCCCTTTGCTCTTTCTACGTCTATCACTTGAAAGGTCTGTTAAATAATGCTCAAATATGCAATCATAAGTTTGAGAAATTACTCATCTATGCTATCAGTTAAAAATTTAGCTCATATATGTCAATTTTCGGGCCGATGAACATTTTGATTGCAGATGAGGCCATACTATCAAAGCAAGCAATGGTGTTGCAGATATCAGTTGCCATGAAAGCTATGCCTAATTGGTACTGTGTACTTCCATCATTTTCTAAGTACTTAATTGAAAATGGATGGAATAAATGTTTTGCAAGAATAAGTGATGTTACCTACTTCATCAATACATCTATTTATCTTGTAATAATTGAGTTTGGAATCTATTGGATGCATAGATTAATGCATGACATAAAACGTAAATATCTGTATTCTACTCTTTATATCTACGACAAGCAAAACACACTTTCACCGTTTGCTGGTAAGCTCTTATAAGAAAATCCATAGGAAACTTATTTTTCTGCAAGTTTTCATACTGATACCGGAGGTGATGCCACACGTCGTAGCTCTATTCATTGTGCCAATGCATTTCGCTACACACATAGGGCTCTTGTTCATTGATACGTTATGGACTGCTAATATTTATGACTGCATACATGGGAAGGTGTGGCCTGTAATGGGTGCTGGCTATCACACAATTCATCATACAACATATCGACATAATTATGGTCATTACACAATATGGATGGACTGGATGTTTGGAACTCTTAGTCATCCTGTTGATGAACAGGATGACAAGAAAATGTAATGACTGAAAACAGTTGATTATCTTTTCTTCCTTGTGTTTAATTATAAGCAATAAGACAATTTGTGAAGTTATTTGAATTTACGAGAGATATTAGTTAACGATATAGTGCATCTATCGTACATAAGTAAGAGAAAAAAAAGGCATAATACACAAATGCGTCTTTTAACTCAGTCTCAATTTACCTTTAAGTCTTTCAACTTTGGATATGCACAAATAAACATTTAAATTTGTATAAACTTGAATAAGTAGACACATAAATCCTATGTGACATGATACATGTTGAACACCACATATGACAAAAAAATGCCATGTAAAACCATTTTGGTCCTTGATATATTTTATTTGATTGAAATATTAAGAAATATGTCCATTTTAGTCATCAATGTATTTCATTCGATTGAGATGGTTCTTTATAGCATATAGTAAATACATTTTATGAGAACCATTTCAATAAAGTGAATACATTAAGGACTAAAATAAACACATTTCTTATACATTAAAAACTATTTCATTCAAATAAAATATATTGATGATCAAAATAAAGCATTATCCATACTAAAAGGACCATTTTGGTCATTTTCTCACCACAAATATTATATGTTAGGGAACCATGTAATTTCTTGGGTTTTAATATTAGAAGCACAATGATGTTTGATCGGTTTTATTGGATCATCAAAACTTGTCTACTCATATTATTCAAATTAATGAAAAAAAAATTCCGACGTTATAAGAACATGAATTTTGGTATTTGTAAGTCATATTTAAATAATAATAATAATATATCATCAATTTTAAATACTTATAAAAACATGCATTAAAAATAATATTAATATATAAATCACCCATCAATGTTAACTTACATCAATTGATCATAAATTGTATAATAAATCAATAATATTTGTAAGTATATATGATTTCAAAGCATCTAATTAATTATTTCTTCATAATTAATTGACTTTTAATATTATTATTTGATTATATAATATATGATTTATTGATATAAGTTGATATTCAAAAGTGATTCATATATTAATATTTTTGAATATATGTGTTATTCAAAATTGATGACATTATAGTAAGTTTTTAAAAACTATTCTTCATAGCATAAAAAAAATTAATTATGATAAAAGAATCTTAAGTATGAAAATTTCTTTTTAATAAACTAATATATGGTTTTTTAGAAAATATCAAGATCATTATTTTAATTGAGTGAGTTTGATGAATTAAATAACACTATTATTTTTTTTTAAAAAAAGGTTTAAATGACATGACAAGGTTAGCTAACATATTTGGACAAAGTATTATTGAGAGTTTACTTTCTCCCTTTGCACCACAGATCATCAAGAACACCACAACATCTCTTAAAAAATTGACAGAGACACGGATTGCTGATATGTGGTTTTTAAGAAAGAAACATATACATCAAAATTAAGTTGCTTGATTCTTTAACTTGATCCTGAAATAGGGTAATAGATAAATAAAAGGTATATTTAAGTTTTTTTAAATAGTTTAAAAATATTTTAAAATCTTTTTTATTTGAAAATTGACTCTATAAATACACGAATGATATTAATATCAGATACCTAGATAAAATTTTAATATAAAATACACGGGATAAAATTGATTTTATATATTATAATATATAAAATTATGAAATATCAAGAGAGAGGGAAGCAAGAAAATCAGTTGAGTATTTGTTTATTTAATAGAGTGCTTTGTGTTGTTTCGTCTTTCTTCTTGATAAAACTTGGAAACTGGTAAGAGCTTAGCGAATTCAACATATCCATGTCTGCTACTTTACTTGTCGCTCCCAATTCGAATACCCTCTGTTGTCACCATGCCAATTCGTTTATCAACCAAAAAACTCTTCTTTTTTCCAAATCTTTCAATTCTAAATTTACCACCTTTTCCTCTCAATCCAATGATAATAATAATCCCATCAAGAAAGTGGAGCAATGCAATCTTGAATTTGAAAATCAAGATTATGGGTCATCAAGTTCAGGAATTAAAGGCCCTACTGCTCCATGGATGAGGGGTCCTCTTCTTCTTGAACCTAATCAAGTTTTGGACTTATCCAAATCAAGAAAAAAGAAAGATACCAATTTTGCGAAAACCCAAAACCCTAATGATGCACTTTCTGGTAAAGTTAGTGGAGGAAGAGGTAAAAAAGCAATGAAGATGATTTATCAAGGAATTGATAAACTCCAAGAAACGCAAATTGGGGAATGTACACAGGTGGAAACTGATGTGAAGGTTGAATTTCAGTTCCCACCAGGATCTTTATCTGGATGGGGAGATGTGAGTTATGAAATTGAGGAGAAAAACCCATATGGGGAGGAGGACAATGTGGAAAGCCTCGAGGGAGTGGAATTTGGTGTTTTATCAAGAGAAGGGGAAGGAAGAGGGAGTAGAAAAAGTGGGGCGAGAATGCCATGGGAGAGTGAGGAGAGAATTGTGTATAGGAGAATGAAGAAGGAGAAAGTTGTCAGGACTGCAGAGTCGAATCTTGATGCAATGTTGCTTGAGAGATTGAGGGGTGAGGCTGCAAGGATTCAGAAGTGGGTGAAGGTTAAGAAAGCAGGAGTTACCCGAACTGTTGTTGATCAAATCCAATTTATTTGGAAGAATAATGAACTTGCAATGCTCAAATTTGACCTGCCTTTATGCCGTAATATGGACAGAGCTCGAGACATTGTCGAGGTTTTTCTATAAACACCGTATTATCTATGATCATATGTCCGTAAATAAGCTTTCTATATTTTGTGCTTTGTAGGGTAAAAAGAACTTGCAGAGGAACCTTTTCATTTTCTGACGTTATTATATTTTGTTTTCTGATCCTGCTATAACATATTTGTATGTTTGAGATATATAATGGTATTAAGTTGCGGTGTGGTTTCATTATCAAGCAAATATCCGCTGTCAAGAATACTCATGTTTACGAATGTCATCTAGTAATGCAGTACTCTTAAAGAGACTAATTCCTCTTATACATCAAACCAAAGTCAATACCGTTAGTGTTTTAAAATACTTCTAGTCCCTCTTTGATTGAGTTGAGTCTTTTTTTTAATCTAGGAAAAGAAGAAAGTGATTTCGGGCTTTGGTTTTGGGACTACCTGAACTGATTTTTAGTTGTCTTGGATGCTGGTAAAAGTGCTTGCTTCATGCAATCAGTTTCTGTATACAAAATTCTTATGATTTGTTCGCTTAAGGGGTCATAGTTGTGAATCCTCAAACAAGTCTAGTCCATCGAACAAGTTGGTAACTTCGCGTTGGAACTGTTTCCTTTTTCAGGGAAACCGCTTTAACTGTTTATATTAAGCATGACGGGACAAGTTGTCCTGTCGGATGCTCCTCTTTATGTTGTTTCAGTTCTCTATTGTATCTAATAAACCAGTGCTCACTGTTCCTAAATAATACTAACATGGTTTCTAGTAGTTATTTCTCATAAGTGTAGAGGATACTTGGTTAAGTTTCTGTCCTTTTTGATAGAATTGTGTGTTATTCCTTTTGTACTGCAGATGAAGACTGGAGGCTTTGTTGTTTGGATGAAGCAAAATGCTCTGGTTGTTTATAGAGGATGTAGCTATACTTTACAACTAAAGGAGCTACAGCATGATTTTTTACGTAGTCACCAGAACCCTTCGTTTACTGAAAATATTGAAGAGACAAGTATTTTCTCACCATTGAACTTAAGTGGGAGCAGTGAAGATGAAATGATAAGTGTTGGAAACTCAGAAGAGGATAGCCTAGTAATGAATGAGTCACTTTACGAGAGGGAAGCTAATAGATTATTGGATGACTTAGGACCTCGTTATGTTGATTGGTGGTGGCCAAAGCCTTTGCCTGTGGATGCGGATTTACTTCCTGAAGTAGTTCCTGGATTTAAGCCACCATTTAGACTTTGCCCACCACGTTCAAGATCAAAGCTGACAGATGATGAACTTACACAATTAAGGAAACTTGCTCGTTCTTTGCCAACTCATTTTGTCCTTGGTAGGTTTCTCATCTTGATGATCATATCTTGTGTAGATGAATTGCTCCAGGAATTCTATTCTGCATATGTTTCCTGCTTGTGTATATCATGGGTTGCTGTACTGTCTCGATTGATAATTTGGACTTGAGTCATATTTATTATTGAGAATATTCCTGTTATGTAACTGTAGTTTGCTTGTTGTATGATGTTTGTACGTGTGATATTATGCCATTTATGTTCATGTCAAGAAAGGAAAATTGCCAGGTGGTGCATTAACAGTGGTATATGCTTCTTCTGAGTTTGACTGTCTAGACATTTAAAAAGTGGACATGTAACATCCTAAGCTAATTAGGAAAGTGGGTTCCTTTTGTGAAAGAAGACAGAACATCTTAATCAGATCTTTGACGGTACTTGTCATTTGCAAGTTTTTTGTCGTAAGGGACTCCTTTTTTCCAGTCTGCACATATGAGGGTCAAAATTCATCTTTACCCAAGACTTGTTTAAATATTGATTCTTACATATTCTTGATGTAAGAGTTTGTGACTTGGGATTGCTTTTATGTAATTCTCAGAGGTTTATATTTGGTTTATGTTTTACTCCCTGAACACAGTTTCCCCCCCAAAATTTGGTCAAATTGCCCCGAGGAATTAAACTGGTCATATTGCCTTAGAAATTAAAATGGTCAAATTTGCATGGACATAATAGATAAATATATCAAAATGATCTACCTTTTACACCTCTTGAGGTTAAAGAGAAACAAGTCAGATCCCTCCATTCACCCTTGTCTCTAGAACACTATACATGACTCTCGTCTGTTGCTAGGTCTTTGCTGCACATGAATAATAAATTAGCTAATTGTATTTATTTGACATTTTTTATCGTGGATCATTTGATGAAAGTTTTGAGCACCCATTTTGATGCAATTGTTTATGCACCTTGTGCAACTCTATGACTATATTTGTCCTGTTTGAGATAGTTTATTTTTCATGACATGACATGAAGGGAGAAACAGAAAACTGCAAGGCTTGGCAGCAGCACTCGTAAAGTTGTGGGAGAAATGTCATATAGCAAAGATAGCTTTGAAGTGGGGAATTCCAAATGCTAGCAATGAGCTAATGGCAAATGAGTTAAAGGTAAGTTTTGTCAAAGCAATTTGTATTTAACATCCTTATATTTTCTCAATTAATCGCAGTCAACTTCTTGAGCAATAGATGAGTCTGTCTTAATAGCTAGCTAGCTTGTTCTATGGTTACATGGCATCAGTTATATTTCTATGCATCTTAGTAGAGTAGAAAATGGGAGGAGAAGAGCTGCTTACTGCCCTCTGTTTCATATAAACTATCTTGTCTTTATATTGTGGTAGATAGTAGAATAAAATAGGTACTATTCTTCAGTCTGAAACCCTATTTTGATTCTCTATGAAATTAGAAATGGAAGTAGGGCAGAGCAGGGTCTGGCGAGGCGTTAAGTTTTTCAATTTTAAAGTTGCTCACTTTCAATACCCATTTGTATCCTCCTAATGTTCTCAGTTCTTCCTATTCATACATAATAATCAGTTTTAACTAGTGCGCCAGGGATGCAGCCTAGAACCCAATGAATTGGGTGAAAAAGTGCTGGGTCATTTCTTCCCATCAGATTATGGCAAGAACTTACCATGATTGCGCCTTGTCCTATGCTATTAGTTCTTCTTTTGCAGAACAGAAATAATTTAGGATTGAGTTACCTACCGAAATTGCAAAATTAAAAGAGGAATTAAGCAGCTAATATAGATGGTTTCAAAGCTTTGTTGGTGAATGTGTCAGGGCACTGGTGCCAGAGTTGAGCTTAGGAAGCTTGGTGTGAATGTTTCAGCGAAGTCTATTTTCATTGAGATTATGAATGTTGGGAGTGTATCATAGTAAACAATTGTGTGGTGTTGAAAACGCTTTAACAACTGGAAAAAGCTCAAGTGTCTGGATGGTGTTTGGTGGAAATGTTATTCAAGCTACAGAATCTAGCCTCTTTTAGCTACAAAATTTCCATAGTGCTCTAGTGGGCCTTCTAAGCAGTGTTAGAAGCAAAATAAAAGAAAAGGTTGGGCAGATTGGCTAGATCAACGGCTTTGCCCTTAAGATTCTGATAAAATGCTCAACTCTTTATTTTATTTTTTTGCAGTATCTTACAGGAGGAGTCCTTTTATTGCGGAATAAGTTCTTTATAATCCTATACAGAGGCAAGGATTTTCTTCCTTCTCAAGTTGCAAAACTTGTAGCTGAAAGGGAGGTGGAGCTCACAAGATGTCAGCTTGAGGAAGAAGTTGCACGATTCAAAGCAATTGAAACTCTTCCAATCACTATGGAAGCATCAATGAGCAGTAGTATTGTTGGGACTTTATCAGAATTCCAGACAATTGCAGAACCTGGAAAGGAGAAATCTGAGGTTGAAGTTCAATTGATGTCTGAAAAGGAAAGATTAGAAAAAGAAGTGAGGAATCAACAGGACAGCCTTTACATTGTAAGATATCAGCTATTCATTTTTCACTTTCATTGTTTCAAGAAGCAAATGAACCACTACCCTACTCTATTATGCAGCTCAAGAAGAAGATTGAAAAATCATCTATAGCACTGGGAAAGCTAAATGCTGCCTGGAGACCTGCCAAAGAGGATGACGATAAAGAAATCTTAACACAGGAAGAAAGACGATCTCTTAGGCAGATAGGATTAAAGATGGACAGGAGTTTAGTTCTTGGTGAGCAAATTTTTGCGCTATTTTCCTCTCTTTTCTTTCTTGGTCAAACTATAATAACTGTAGCTGAGTTGCAATCGAAACTTGAGAGTCTTCTACAGATATATTGTCTGTTATCTACCCGGATTCTGAAATTTCTGTTATGATTACACATCTTAAATAGTTCCACAGAGAAGTGAACTATTATTTGTCATATTCCCTAGTTGGACTTGTATAAACAAACTGCTTTCCTCAATATTATTCACGGCTGGATGACAATGCTTCAACCCGAGCTAGTTGAGCCAACTATATTAATCCTTCATATCAGTTCTGTTTTATTCAGCTCCATTTCATTCCAATATTCGACAACAATACCTTTGTCTGATAACTACTGATTGCTCAAAATTTTAGGATCTTAAAATATTGAGAAAGTTTTCAGTTCTGCTCTATGATAAAACTAGTTTCTGATCACTTGGTCACCTCAAATCTACTTTCTCAATTTCTCTTCAGGGAGACGTGGTGTTTTTGATGGTGTCTTAGCTGGTCTCCATCAGCATTGGAAGCACAGAGAAGTTATTAAGGTGATCACAATGCAGAAAATCTTTTCTCAGGTCATTCATACTGCAAAGCTCCTGGAGACAGAAAGTGGTGGAATACTGATTTCTGTTGACAAAATTAAAGAAGGCCATGCAATAATAATTTATCGGGGAAAGAACTACAGACGCCCAGAGTTGGTTCCTCAAAATCTTCTAAACAAAAGACAAGCTTTATGTCGGTCCCTGGAAATGCAGAGACTTGGAGTGAGTCTTCTGCATCTTAAGGCTAATTTATTTAGTCCTTCAGTTTTGTGACTGTTATAAATCGTGGATCTCAGAGTTATGTTGTTCTTTCAGTCATTGAAGTTTTATGCAAATCAAACGGAGCAGGCAATCTCTGATCTTAAGTTGAAATTGGTAATTTCTGTCTCTGTTAAAGTTTTTCTTTTTCTACTGATTGTTTTTGCCTTCCATTTTAAAAATTAGTTGTGACTATTTCTTTGGCTTTGAAATGGCATCTCAAGTGAATCTTATCCAGTTTTATTAGCTGAAATTTGATAGATAGTTGTTTTTTGCAGGTAGAATATACAGTAAAGATTGGTCAAATGGGGGAGATCTAAAGCTTGTGGTGCAGTCATAACTACTATTGCTCTTGATTTCTGTCTTGACATGGTCTACTTATATCAGCGCGAAGAGAATTCACCCATTAGCTAGGTGAGTTTAAGGTCATAAATCAAGGGCTCTCAAAGCAATAGTCCTTATTTCCCCATAATACTCACTTAGCTAGCATCTTGGGATTTCACTTTTGGGATAATGTGCAACTTGGAGAAACATTAACTTTGTGATTCTCCTGATGAGACCAGAACAGTTCAGGTATCCTATTCTCTTACCTATAAAAATATGCTGTCAATATCATGATATTTTAGCTTTGTTTTACTTCAGTTCTAGACGGATGGTTTGCAGCACTATAAATTTATTGGCTAAACCTTGCAAAAATAGTTGCCTCATAATATCTTTATAATTTTTTTGGGTTGAAGTAAGAGATGTAACTGCCTCATATTGTTTCAGCTTAATTTTGGATATGGAAAATCTGCTCTGAAATATGGAGGTTTGAATTTCTTAATTATGAGAATGCAAAAGTTTAAGCAGCATCTAGACTTAAAGAAGTGTTGCTCTACCAAAAGTCATGCCCTTGTCGAGGCTAAGATATGGTTTTTGAGTTTTGGCAGTTAAGCTTCCAACTTTTTGTACTGGAGAGTCTGAGATCGATGATATCAGTGGCTTTAGAATCCCAAAAATGAGCAGAAGACCAAGATTTAAAGCTGACACTACATGTCATGTGACCATGTGTTAAATAATGCAAATAGACGATAAGATGCCAAGGACTGCATCTTCTTAACAAAGCGGAGAGTTGATAAATCCTTCCACATCATGGGACTCAGCACTAGTGTGTCATGCACTGGGGTTTGCACGAATGCTTAGGAAGTTTTGATGCTCACGAAGTGAGACTTCTGTAAAATACTACTATAGAACCATTTTGGCCTGCAAAGTTACACGGTGTTGAAAGAATCTCCAGATATTCAAGAATTTGCTACTTTCTACTTAATTTATCCCTTGGTAGCATTTTTGCTGGATTAAGTGTGTCATTCAATAAATGAATTAATCATTTCTCTTGTTGTGTTTTCCTGTCACCCTCATTCGATCAGCAAAAATTATGTGTCAACTAGCTCAGGGTGCTTCAGTTTAGGTTTTAATAGTTCTGACGTTTTTCAATAGCTGTAGAACTAGGAGAGTCGAATTCTCAACCGTGGTGTAGTTCACTTATCTGTATCTTGTGTGGCAGGATGGTGGTGGACTGCAGATGCAATGGATTGTTAGAGTAACATTGCTAACATTACATAATAGACATATTTCAAAGGACTGATACTTGTTGCATGATCTGGTAAGGTTTAAGATTATTTTGATTAAATTCCAGAACTCAGACCTCAAGTCCCATGACTACTACAGGAAATATCTGTGGAAGCATTAAGTAGGCCCACCTCTATACTTGAAAGCAATAAAACAGACATTTGGAGGAGGGAGAAGATGAACATACTACAGGGATTTGTTCCATACAGCACGGAGTCGGTAAACGTTAATTGCACTGCTGATTTTTAAGGACACTGTTCCTCCTCTCTTGCAGCAACTTTGTGATATTGTGCCAATTCCAGGTTTGAACATCTGCAGAAATGTTTTATGTTTACTCAATGGAAGATTGCATACAAAGACCTATTCTTACCACACACTGACTTTTAAAATTAAGTTCTTTTTTAGCTTTACGGAGAAGTGGCAAACTCACACTGCAGTAAAAGATGGTTCTGAGGCAGCATGGTGTTTCCAGGAGGATTCGTTGTTACCATTGTGATCAACGATCCAGAGTGTAGTGCACCTATGGCGTTATCCTTCATTTACCACAAGGCTACGACCATAGGTGTTAGTGTAATTAATCAAATCAAAGTGTGGTCAGGTTGTGCCTGCTCATTTATAGCAGGAGATGATACATATATAATTTGGATGCTAGGGGTGGGTATTTTACATAGGCACAAGCATTGTATGACAACAGCTAGATTACTTAAACGAGTTAGAATGTTTGGTCACTTGTCAGGCCACCACAAATGTGAAATTTATGTGCTCTCTGTTTGGTACCAATTAACAATAATTTTATCAACCCATTAATAGTCTGAAACCTAATCAGTGGTGATCAAATAATATTCCCACAATCCCACTAAATTGACAACACTTTCGTTATAATATATTAACAAATTTGCATCAATTGTTTTTATGTGGAAGCGATATTAGCTCCAGAAATGAACCTCCTTTCTGAGGTCATTGTGGATGTTGATGTAAGCGACTCTGGGATGGATCTTGTTGGAGAATTCAAGACAGGTTTTGGTGGAACTTGTAGGGATTGAAGGCTTCCTTCCAGCATTTCAACTGCCTTCTCTATAGCTGGTCGATCTGATGGCTTGGTCTGAATGCACCACAAGCCCACTAAAATCATCTTCCTTGCTACTTCTTCATCTTCTTCGTTCATGATACCTTGTAGACTTAGGTCCTTCCCCAGCTCGAGATGTTCATAGATCCAATTTGGAAAGTATACTTCACTAGTTTGGCTCATGTTAACGTTGTTTCTCACTCCAACCATCTCAAGAACAAGCATGCCGTAGCTGTAGACATCTGATTTGTGAGAGACGTGCCCAAATGCTCTAGAGAACACTTCTGGAGCAATGTATCCAGCCGTTCCCCTGGCACCTAACATTGATAGAATGCTCTCCTTTTTCTCGCACAATCTAGAGAGGCCAAAGTCAGATATTTTGGGGCAGAAATCCTGGTCCAAGAGAATGTTGTGAGGTTTTATGTCAAAGTGGACTATTCTTGTGTTGCAACCTCGGTGTAAATATTCCAAACCTCGAGCAGTCCCAACTGCGATACTGTACAATGTTGTCCATTTCAAGGAACAAGTTGTGCTAGATGGTCCACTGTTAAGAAATTTGTCCAGTGAACCGTTGGACACATACTCATAGATTAAGGCTCTCCTATTCCTTTGGTAACAAAATCCCAAAAGCCCTACTATGTTAACATGGGAAGTTCTGCTTATACTGGCTACCTCATTTATATAATCTTCTCCGTCACCATTAGTTTCTGTCAGGACCTTTACAGCTACTGCACGACCATCAGGTAGTTTTCCTTTGTATACCTGACCAAATCCCCCCTTTCCTATTTTATTGCTGAATGAGGCGGTTATTTTCTTTAGATCCGAATAGCTGTACATCTTTGGAGCATGAGAACCGTAATTTCTCATAAATTCTTCAATTTTGTGATTTTGTGATTCAGTCTTCCAGCAAATCAGTTGCTTACGGGATAACCCCCGACTTCTGAGGCAATAGATGATTGGAACTGATATTATGGCCAGCACTGCGATACAAACTGCGGCAACTGCATATAGATATTGTTAATAGATCAAGTACAAATGCAGATTGAGGGAATGCACAGGGATGCTTTACCTATTGCAGCTGTCGGAATCTTTACTGAACCTGCAGTATGTGACAAAGGACTATCGTGAATGAATAACTCAAGCGAACCGTGTCACAGTTTCATGAAGGAAAAACTACAGATCGAGAGAATTTACAAAAAAAGAGAGATTTTGATGAATGACTCATTCAGAATCCAGAAGAGTCACCATGAAAAGAGTGATAGTAACTAAATTAAGATACATAAGGTATACGTTTGAATATGTAGAAATTCGCTGTTTTATTCGAAGTCTAAGTTGGGACAAGATACTTTCTCCTACAACTTGTCTTCAAGTGATTCTGGCAGTGGTAAATTATGAAGATTAGTAGAGGAAAGATTACCTGGTAAGTCTCTGTGTACATTGTTGCAGTCGTTTGAAGGAGTACCGTTTTCACAATGGCAAGTAAAGTCTCCAGAATCTGGATTGGATCCACATCTTCCACCTGACACCTCGCATTGTTGGCACTTTGAATCAGTAGTTGCCGTCCAGTTTACTGAAAACCCGCCAGCAATGGCGTTTCTCAGAAAAACCACGGAAGCTGTAGGACTGGCTAATGCCACAGCATTCGTTTGATTGACCCTAGCTATTATTTCTTTCTGGCATGTTACCAGGCTAAGGTCGAAGGGAACGTTGATCAGCGTATATATACCAAATATACTGCTATTGCTATTGCAATTAAACCTATTTGGAGACGAAGCTGGTAATTGCGAGCCAGGGCGGACGGTGCAGCCCAAATACAGGGTAATATTCAGGTCACTCGAAACATAGCTGAAAGTGTTTAAATCAAAGGAAGCATTCTTAGGATTAGCCAAACAGATATTACTCAGTAAATCATCCCGAGCCAGAGTTACAATTCGATTAGGAGTGTTGATATCTATCACTTGGTATCTTGTTGATTCAATAGTAATTTTGGGGATGTTACTTTCGCACTTGATCTCAAAACTTGGATGACCACAATACTCTGGTTTACTCCCTCCCCAAAACGGGTAAACTATATCCATGCTGCCGCAGCGAAACGGCTCACCGCAACTCCTGTATTGTTCGTCATCTTGACCAAGGGATATGGGCATATCGAGATAACATAGAATGACAAACAAAATGACAGTTGTGTGGAGATCTGAGAGCATTTTTTGGGAGCAAATTCAGTCCTTTTAAAACTGCTAATACTTGCACTTGACAGGAGTAATATTGTCGACTTTTCATATCTTTGTAGTAACATTAAAGTCAAGCATTGACTCTTGGGAGTATGACTTGGTCTAAGTTGGCTGTAAAACCGTTTGAACATTACTTTTACCAAACACAACATATCCCAAGGGACCCAACTCAAATAACCTACCAAAGCAGTTTGGAAAAAATCATACCAAGAAAAGAGCGCCCTGCAAATAATAGGAGATACACTAGATAATGTAAATTCTCATTCACTTTTTTTTTTGTACATGAATCACTTTGATGCACATTGGGTAGAACGCAGGTGCATTAATTGGTGAACTCGATGCTTTTTTGGCTACTATAAGACTCAACTCAAATTTCTTGCGCTTAACACACACAATATATATCACTCTTTTACCACTGGACCAAATCCCTAAGACTGAGCGAAGGTTTATTAGATAAAGCTAAAACTGTTAAATTCGAACAACCAAAACCATAAAAAAAAATTGCTAAGGAAATATTTTCTTGACAGTAAAATTACTCGGTAAACAGAGGTCCTAAATTGTCATTTTCTCTCCAGCTTAGTAGTCAATAAATATGACTCATTCAAAAAATCAAGAACAGCAAAAGAGAAAAAACCGTAGGTTGATTTATCTGTAACTTGTACCGCGGTGAACCGTCACCATCTCCACCTCTCTTTGTATGATTGTAATTCATTGGACTATTGGCAATAATGATATTTGGAACAAATATCAACTACTTTCACGCGCTTTATTCTGTTTCAACTTCTTATAACTTCCACGAAAAGAAAAGGAAGCTAAATAGACCAACTCTTTACAGCTAGTCACCAGCCTTTGACATATCATGTTGATGCCATGGAAGAGTCCTGGGAGATGACGGAAATATGACACTAGAGGTGTAGTTGACTACCTTGAGCAATATCATACAGCTAAAGGAGAAAAGAAGAAGAGATTTTGTTACAAAAATATGGAACGAATTTCCTTAGCAAACAGTTACACACAGGTGATGATACATGCAAGAGCTTCTGATACTACAGTTGCACATCTTGCATAATATACAAGTATGGAAGCTCATATGAGTATAAAACTACAAGCTTTTCATGTCAAAATGTTACATTTGATTATACAGGGGGAAAAGGGATGCACTAATTACTTTATTTCTCCCGCACCACTTTATATCTTGATGGCACAGATAACTCAACCATTTACACCTACAATTACGCTCACAGGAACTGCAGTTAATGCTCATCCCTTGTTTGCATAAACAGACACATGTTAACTTCCTCAGGTGATTAATTAATGGTGTTTTCCCTCTGTAATTTAGGAATCACCACACTAAGCCCTTTCTTCTCCTAAACCTGTCAACACGATCTGTGCTCATCCGCGACTTCTCAGGTTTGTTTGACTTCTTAGTCTTTTCAAGTCGACTATCCAAACTGTTCCTTGAAATTTCAGGAAGATCAGGTTTCAGGTCAAACGTGTCGGTGGTACTACCACTTTCGGCAGGTTTACTCTGATTTTCAGACTCTGTTGATGCTTTCTGGGGGCCATTAGCAGCAGGCTTCGGTTTGCCAAGACCAAGAACAAATTTCTTTAGATGTTTGATATACTCTGGGTAAAGTTCAAGATTGCAGTGTCCACCTCCATTTATCCACAAAGGTTCATATTTTTCGTTACATAGCTCCCACAGCTGTTTCCCATGGGAGTAGTCAACAACTTCATCCGCTGTTCCCTATACACGTGTTAAAATTCTTTGAGTAAAATGTTCAAAAACAGAACCTTTGGGAGGCACAAGGCAGAAAGTGTCTAAAGTAGTTTATTAACAGGTAAAGAATTAGAATCGTTGGGAGGTACAAACACATAGAGGATCTACAGTTATTAAATTAACCAGTAACAGGACAGTTGCCCCGCCATCTATCCTGGACCCATCTATACTGTGAGGTATTTGTAAATAGATTGAATTTGAAAGAGATTGCTAATTATGGAGTAGAAGTATAAAAGATTGGATAAGAAGGAAAACTTACATGAATGACGAGAACCGGACAATTCACTGCACTAATCTTGTCAATGTTCTGAAATTAATTGGAGTAATGGAATCAGATTTTACAAGTGGAGATGGAAAAGCATTACGTACAGATAACCACTGAGAGTGTTTTACCTTGTATATGTCAAACCAATATGTCCGCTTGACAGGGTACAAAACTCTTACACCAGACAATATTGGACTATGTAAAACAACACCTCGTAAATTGGGTACTCGTGATGCAAGATCAACAGTTGGGCCACTGCCAACAGATTGACCATAGATTATTAACTGTTCATCTTTGACCTCATATTGCTCCTTTAAGCATTTATATACTGCATCAATGTCCGCGTATGTATTACATTCAGATGGCTGTTTCAGAGAAAGGATGATTTCATTATAATTTAAACAACAAACAGCAACAACGGAATAGACCCATATGAATACCAAATGAGTTCCTAGAGCAAGCAATGAATGAAAAATCCAAGATTAAGAACTGAAACTTTCTTATATACCTGTGTCAGGTCTCACACATATTTGTTAATAACATTAAGCAGAAAACTATATAAAGACAGATTAAGATGTTTTGACGCACAAAGCAACATTCTAATTAAAGTTTGACCAGTGTTGTCAAAAGTGCACTTAGCCCTGAAGCGAGGCTCAAAACGTGTTGAGGCGCTTTGCCTCGCTTAATCTTCATCAAGGTTCTAAGACATACTCTTCCTAGTCAATAAGCCTCTTGTGAAGAGGCGACACTAAACAATCAATACTTTACTTTACGTGAATTGTCTTTAACTTTTTTGTTCATATATATCCTTCATTCATGCTTATAATTATTAGCTTGAACTAATCATATATATTTGAAATTTTCTCACTTTGCGACCTTTTTCATTATCTCACACTTTATTTGCACTTCGAGAGTTCTTTTGTGCTTTTTGGTTTAAATAACACTGAGTTCCACATGGCCAAATAAAGTACCATGGTTGCCAGCATCTAGAAACTAAAGAAATGAGGTAATAACAAAGAATTGTTTAGGTTTGGAAGCCATGCATAAGATTTAAGAATGTACAAAAACCTCGATCCAATTACAGATATAAACTTTTCCTTCTAAAAAAAATTTCTAAGGAAGTCCAACCCAAATTGGTAAAATATTAATGGCTCTAGCTCTTCCTGCATCAGCAGAACTTCGACAAGGCATATGTTTTTCACCTTATCGTATGTATAGATAGTAAGCATTATCAATATTCCCTTGAAAAGATGCTTGAGGGACAACAAAATGCATACTGAAAGGTCTCCCCAAATCTGGTAAGAAAATCAAGATATGTGATGCGTGCTGCAACATATCACATACATAACGTGACAGAGGCAGAAGAAGAAAAAAAGAACAATATTTCTTTCATATATGGATTTCATGAAGGGAACTAGGCTTAAATAAAATTCCAGTCACGGTTTGTCGTGGGAGTTCACTAAATGAAGAAGTGGATGATACATCACTGGTCATTGTACAAACAAGGCAAGCAAGCTCTTCCTTGAGAATTTAAAAATGAACGTTAAAGCTTTTAAGAGTTCATTGACAAACAGCTCCTGTTCTTAGACCGGTTACCGGTCAGGGTTATAGAGAATTTATGACTAAACACAAGCCCATTGCCAATACTACACCTTGGCATTCCTTCCTAGGAACGAAAAAACTTACTATTATAAGACAACAAAAATAAGCAATTAAGTCCAAAAAGTGCATTGCAGGGTTCAGATAATTTGACAGAACCAACTACGTGAACTAGTTTGGTTAGCTAGTGCTTCTAGTTGTGGTTCTAATGAGAAAGGAGAAACTAAGCTGAAGGTTAGGTAACATATGCGGTGGTAATGAAACAGATTAGATGTGTTCTATAATATCTGCCGAGTAATCAATGCTACCTTAAAATAATCAATGTTAGTGTGTTCTTGCAAATAATGCTTTCAAATTATACGACATATTCCTACCCCAGACGCAAAAACAAAAAGAAGGTACAGAGGATAAAGGCGGAGCTGGACACACAGCCCACAGGTTTGGGGGGCAACTTAACTAAGAGAGCCAATCCATTTTGGGCAAGACAAAATAGCTGGTAGGGGAAGTCCCGTGTCTGAGCCGATTGGTCAGACGACGACTACTTCACTTATTGGTTTAGTATTAGCTGCCTTGTCCTTGTATGTTTGCAAGTGAGCAAAAAAGAATACCAGTCTTTATGTTTATTCGCGCATCACATAATCACCCAAGTGATATCCATATTAAATTGACTTGTTGATGTTGTAAAATAGATGAAAAACCATCTGTAATAATAGAGTACAAGTAACATCCAAACTTATCGTTTGGAAATGGTTCTTTTGCATTATTAGCATCAGTTAAGAGATTAATTTCCCTTGGCATTATATATCGTTGTCCAAATTTGGAGTGACAAATTACTGGAGCGATTACAGAGGATAAGATATCTGTTCTCTGACATCAAATTTTGCTTCAGAGAATCTTAGGAGTTGGGAGTTTAAGACCATATAGCAACATGGGTGACAAGTGGCGTTAAATGATTAATACGAGGCCTGAAGGAGAGGTGATATAACATTGACATCATCCATGGTCTTTATACTAAACTTCCATGTAAGAAATCTAGAGAAAATGTTTTTTTTTCTTTCAATAAATAAGAAATCTACCAAAAATGAGCAAACGAACATTTTAAGAAAGAAACCTTCAATTTTTACATGAAGGTTGCATAAGAATTTCATAAATATGATATGCCCACATATAAATCAAAACAAATATAACAATTATATAGCTCAGGGATGAGGACGTTGACACCTGGATTCTACCATATCTAAGCAACATTTACTTTTAATATTCCGAAATTTTAATGCAAGTCCAAAAAGGTAAAATTTAAAGTTCTACCATCACATTCGTCTATTAACAAGTATCATTGCAAGTTAGAGCTGGTTAATAAAGCCAGTTTTCAAAACAGATGTCATTTTTCTTCCTACTAATAATGTTATTATACACGTAACAAACTGAAACTGATGAAGGCAGTGAGGTTTTTCTCTTTGTCCCTGTTTTCTTTATGAAGACGGGGAACAAAAAGTTGCCAAGTATATATGACCAAGGAAGCAGGTATCTAACCTTTCCAGTTGATTGTCCATATCCAGAGTAATCATACCTAAACAAGAAACCATATGAGCAACGTCAGGAGGGTCTGAGAAATCAAACGGCAATCCTACTGTTTAGTTTGACATTAAAAAAGTTCTAGAATTGAAGCAAATGAAAGCTCAATTTACGAAACTAGAGAAAGACAGAGAGACCAGAGGGTTCAACCATAATATTAACTTCATCGGGGGTCTTTCAGATGCAACTCGCAATAGGTCAAATTGCACAGAAGATAGGAAATGATCACGAGTTACTAAAATCTAGTATAGAGTAAACTAGTAAAGCCAAACAAGCTGCTTGCTTGAATTGGACTCCTGGACCTCAAGCTTGGCTTTCTTCTAACGTCTACTTGTTCATCAAATTATTATCCACTAGTAATCATGTATCAACCATAGCATCAATGTTAGGAAAATACAGCACAAAAATAACAATTTCATGACATCTCCACATTATAGGAGAGTCCGTATAAATAGCCTAATGTTAGTCGCATTTCAGAAAATTAGCACGGTGTGTAACGCAGTACAGTTTAAAACAAACAACCTCAAATTTTCTCCAATTTCGTAAAATCTCAAAAAGAATTCTTAAAGCTAGGGAAGTCATGACACGGAGTAAAAACAGCTTATCACCTTACCGGAGAATCAAAACATACAGCATAAAGTAAGTCATGTTTCAGAAACACATTAGACTGTGTCATGCCCAATAAATTAAAGCAAACAACTTCAAACTTTTGTAAAATCTCAACAAAATTCTCAATTTGGAGTATGTTCTACTAAAGATGTCTTATTTCTGCTCAACTAAATGTCTTGGCCAAAAAAATGTTTAAGTATTTTACTTCCAACCTTTGCTCTTATTCAAGAAAAAAAAAAGTGATCCAAATATGAAAGTTACAAAATCTCAATTACTGCATAAGGTGTCTTTCCAATTGCTAGATTCAAGAAAAAGAACAAAAAAAAAAATTAAAACAGAATTAGGACTTAAGAGAAAAAAAAAAGATAAGCTTTAGCTCAGAATCAGATAACGGAAACAAAATTGAGAAACTAGGAAATAAAATTGTGGAAATTAAAAGGGAAGCTTAATTAAATTACCCCATGAGATTAACACGAAGACGGAGGCTCAATTCAACAAAGAGCTCAAACATCTGACCCAAATCAGCAGCATTACCATGAGAATACAGCATAGTAGCAGATGCCTTTGGATGCTTCACATGAACGGCCACGATTTCATTTCCACGGCGAGTACGAAGTTTCAAAAAGTCTACTCCATCTCTCCTAGCTACCTCAGGTATGCTAAACTTGCCGTCGTCGGGGACAACCGTGTAAGACGGCGGAGTCGGTGGGAAGAAGGCGAACTTAGCAGCGATGGAAGAAGTCACTCCTCCCATTATCTACAGTAACTTATCGTTACTGCACCAATCATAAAGCAGCCCCCTTTTCCCTTATCTTCTTCTTCAGGGCGGCGCGTGGAGGCCAAGAGAGGCGCGTGGGGGTTTGAAAATAAGGAATATGCTACGACTAATAAAAGGTTGTTGGAGGAAGAGGGGATATATTGTATAACGTTGGAGTTTTCGGATTTTATGTAAGACTTTATGACTCATAAGTATGGCCGTAACTCGTAAGATGATTTTAATAATACTTTGAATTTAAAATTTAAAATTTAAAATAATAATTTTAAAAATTAATTAAATTGATTCATATAAAGCCAACCAGTAAAGTAATAAGTTTAATTAAGAAAAGCTTAAAATAATTAATTTAAACCATAGCATGTGAAGTAAACAATATTTATGTTAACTGTTTGGTTATCAACTTCGGATTAGAATTTTCTAACCACGATGTTATGATAACTTTAATTACCAAACTACGGAAGAAGGTAATAGAGCTTTTTGACTATTTAACTATTGTAGAAATGCACCTTAATGGACATTAATTAAACATACGTAATTTTGATTACAAATATATGTAGAAGAAAAGAAAAGAAAATGCTAGTTCATAGACATGTTCGAGGAAGAAATAGAAAAGTTGATAATTCATAGGAAAAAGGTTTTCTATTTATATATATTTAAAATGCTAAAATTCAAGGAGAATATCTAGTAAAGTAAAGGTTATTATTCTTGACCGATTAATATTATTTCTTTCATTTTAACTCACTTAATATTTTTTTTTTTGGATAAATTAAAAATAAAAAGTGTCGCGTAAAACAAATAGATTAGTGCAACAAGTTGGAAGATGGAACCAAAGAGAAAAGGTTAATAGGACAAAGTCTTTTCCTCTTTCTTGTGTACTTGCCAGCCCAAGGAATGATAAAGGCCTAACGTATCTATGGAAAACATTATTTATTGGAGAGCATCAATTATCAAAGGATTGTCCTTTTAGGTCAAACCAATTGAATGAGAGAACAGCGTTAATGGAACACGTCAAACATAATCCCATCTGTACCATTTTCAGATTTCCCCCTTTTTTTTTCATAATCACAATGTCTACATAGGAAAATATAAAATTAATGAGATTTTATAGCCATAAGTTTAATCTATTCAAATAATCAAGTTTACAATTAAATATACTTATAACAATTTGCAATTATTGTTTTCAATAATAAAGTTTTTACAAAAATTATTAAGTTTACATAATCCACTCCAGTAGAAGAAGTATTTTCCTTATGACACAATAAGACAATAATCAAAAGGAAAAGAAACCTAAGCTATACTTCCTTTACACTATTTATTACGTAAAGAAATAGTGTCCGATGTGTTTGAAAAACACAATAAGAAAAAAGTTAAAAAGAGAAATGTCAATCTTCTACGCAAAGAAATGCTATAAAGCGCAACTTATATTCAGCCATCGCCAGCTACAATATTTAACTAAAAGTACCTTTTTTAGAATTGTATTGAATAATGATTAATGAACGTGATGCATAATGGAATTATAACTACTATTTCTTTACTCTGTATAAGAATATAAATCATCAAGAATATCTGACAAGTTACTACTAATATATTGTCTTTTTAGGGTTTAAAGTAATACCCACATGAAAATTATGAATGCGTCTTGAAATTTGATGTTCAGTTCAAAATAATTTAGAAGAGAATATAAAAATATGAGAAGTACTGGGCGATTACAAATTAACACGAAAGTCAATATCAGTTAACCGTGGTGAAAGGGTAAATATATACCTGAAAAACACATATCTTATATATTTTTAGGAGGGGTCGAGGTAGATAGAGGAAGAACTAGAGAGACGTGAATTCTAGATAAGAGATTTGTTGTTTGTATAGACTATAGACATTTGGTGTAGGTAAAGGGGAAGATAATTGGGGAGTAATGGACCACCACTGTCACCCCATTGTATATATTTGCACAGCACAATAATAATGCGCAGATCAATCAGTCGCCTTCCATACCTAAAGCCATAGCGGTGGCACGTTGACATGTCACGATGAACAACTACTATTTTACATGACTCTTGTTTCCGCATTCTGCCAAAAATGGACCCTCTCTGCCTTTTTTTTTCTTCCCATTTTCTCCGCCTGATGTCACTCTTCATTCATCTATCCGTTGCTTTAGCAATCCACCACTCATTAATCTTTTTTACTTTTAATAACATCCAACCAGGTAGTATTCTCATCAACTTATGCACATCTCGACTATTACACGGTACACGCTAGTATTGGGATTTGAGCCTGCACGACCATGTGAAGTTTTGGTTCTTCCTATGTGTATTCATTATGTCAAACAAAATGAAAATCCTGCACGAACCAAAAAGATGTCTTCAGAATATAAGTTCCAACAGCAACTGCTGTTAGCAGTGAAGAAATGATATCTGAAATGTGGAGTGACTAGCCATGCTTAACTTCGCAAAGAACAGAAGAAAAAAGGAGGCATCACTTAGCACAACTCCAACCGTAAATGACTCCCTCTATGCATCAAACTAGATGCAAATTCCAATGTTCAAGTCGTTGTCTCATAATCCACAACACAAAAATATGGATACCTCCTCTTTGTCAATATGTGTGAACGGAAAACAAGCAAAGACCATAAAGCAAGTTACACAAGGACCTCAAAAAATTCCCTTCATATAGGAAGTTTGGCTAGATGACTGACTAAATTTGCACGCAATTCAGGTCCAAAGACCCAATTTTCTATCTTAAGCCCTATTAGCTCTCTTCAGAGAAGTGTATCGAACCAACTCATCATTGTAGATCAACCAGCCTCAACCCTACTTTTAATTGGAAATGAAAGATCAACAAATGAAACATAGGAAAATTCAAAATTCTGATTCATTTAAATAAAAATTGACATCAAAAAGCTGTCTTATAGAGGAAGACTAAGTGATTCTCTAATTTAGTGATTTCTAGAAATTAACAATTAATGCTCCATTAAGACTGCTTTAGATCAACTAAGTTCATTGAGTGTCCAAAGTGACCAAGTTCTCCTGAGTGGCCAATCTGATGAACCAAATGCTAAGAAAGAAAAGTTAGCAAATGTAGACATGAAACGAAGGATGGTCCTTCGAGGACATCTAATTAAAGAAACAAAGGATGTAATAACCAGATAATTTCTTATATATCATCTAGGTCTCTGCTTTTTAGGGAGCACTCCTTCAAGTTTCAAATGATTAACCTCTACCAATTGAGGTTGTTATTTCACATTATCTCTCAACTCCTCGGAGTAAGACTAACTAAGACCAATATCCAGAAACGTATAGGAATGACTTAGTCCCAATTTTTCGATTTATACTAACTTCGTATTTCAAACAGGAGAAGCAAAAGAAAGAAGATGGATATACTGCAAAGTAGTAATTTATAAGGTCAAAGTAATTTTTTAGCAACAAAACCCTGCAAGTTTACCCCAAATAAAGCTCAATTCATCTGTAAGGCAAATTTTCTATGACTATTGAAACATGAATAAGTGCCTCTGCAAATATCAAAGATCTCAGCAGGGATTATCACATATGTGCAGTTTAGGCAGTAGAAAATGGAAGTTGCAAGGAAGACAAAGGGGCCCTTAAGAATAAAAAAAGCAGGATCCAGGACTACAGAACTCATCAAGAATGGTAGGAAATCTCATACCATTTTCCCCTGATCAATGTCTTGGAAGATGCACATTCCTGGACAGATATTAGTTGCATCGTCACCTAAAATATACCACCCAAATGACAGTTACAAAAGAGATGAGACATCACGGACTCAAAACAATACTTAGTAACTAATAGTTGGGACAAACCTGAATTGTCAGCATTTCTTCTACAGCAAGCAGGCTGAAGAATATTGTCTGATGGTATGCCTATATGAACTCATACTAGATTGTGCAGCTCCAGTTGGGTTCTTCCCGTGGAGATAGAGCAACTGCGCCTTGTAAGCTGAGAAAATAAATTTTATGCTTGATCCATCCGCATCTGGAAAAGAATCTCCAAAACTATCATTTGTCTGCTCAAAACTAACATCAGTACGTCATTGTGTTTGCCTTTTACAAGAGGAGTGGATACTTTTACCCACTTAAAACTGGTTATATAGGTTGTATTCTCAGTTGCATTATCTCTTGAATTTCAACTTCCACAACATCGTTATAATGTAGAACTCTTAGCCAATAAATAAGGTTAAAACTTCAGTGGCAAAGTTGATGACCATTATTTATCAATAATGCAGAAGCTTAGCCATTTGGATTTTAGACTGGACCTTCCTTGCTTCATGCGTAAGTCCACAACTACGAAGACCATCAATAACAATTCGTTTATCTGATTTAAGAATTCTCATGCCACCTCTAATACACGATAGTAGTAACTTAGATGCTGCGCGAAACCTCCTAGCTTGGCAAAGACCACGAACTATGGTAGAGTAAGTAACAGAATCTTTTGTATCCATTGACTCAAATATATGTGTAGCATAATCCAATTGACCAGTTTTACACAACCCATTGATAAAAGAATTCCACGCAACCAAGTTAGAATCAAAACCCGTCACACTCATACGGTTCAATTGTTGCTGGGCCTCTTGGAAATTACCAGTTCTGCACAAGCCATCAATCCAGATAGCATGGGTGAACTTGTCAGATTCCAAGCCTCCATTTTCTGCCTCATATAACAACTTATAAGCATTATCCAGCTGACCTTCCTTACAATATACATTAAAAATGGTATTGAAAGACACAATGTCAAGGGTAAAGCCACTTGTAATGATATATCCCAGGTACTCATTGGCCTCAGTTATCCTCCCAGTTTTAAGTAACATACTTGTAACTGTACAGTAAGCAAAGGCATCATATGTATATCCTTTGTTTCTCATCTCTGCAAAGATTTTAAGGCCTTCTTCAAATTGTCTATATCTGAAGCAACATTTCATTACTGTTGTATAAGTGATGGCATTCGGGATATGACCTGATTCTACCAATTCGTTGAGGAACTCTCTTGCAACGTTTCCTCGTCCTGACTTGCACAACCCATGAATAAGAATGTTGTAAGTTACTAACTGAGGAGTAAATCCATGACGCTTTAAACTCCTAAATAGCATAAGGGCATTCTCAGTATATCCATTCATACACAGCCCATTAATTAAAATACTAAATGTTGCAGAATGAACAGATATATCTTTCAAAAGAATATCTTGAAAAACCCTGTAAGCTTCATCTGGCTTTCCGAATTTAAAGAAACAATTCATTAATGTGTTGTAACTCCAGATATCAGGAAGAATTCTCATCTCAAGCATTTCATCAAACAGGTCGAGACATTTAGATAACAGAGAATTTCTAGTAGCTCCGGCGATCAAAGCGTTATAGGTAATAACATCAGGGTTAATTCCAGCATCCTTCATCCTATTAAGGATGGAATAACCAGCATCTATGCCAACAAAGCGGCAATATGCAGCAATCAATGTATTGTAAGTGACAACATCTGGTTGCAATCCAATTCGTATGCCATCAACTATAACAATTTCAGCTTTCTCTAATTGTTTGGCTTTACAAAGAGATGCCACACAAACATTCATTAACCTTGTTGATAATTTATCTTTGATTCTCCGCATCTACTCAAAACAGTTCACACCTGAAATCTGAACAACTTTTCGAACAAAAATGACAGAATTTATACTTCTCAGATATCAAATGCTTATGAAATCGCTGTTTGAAAGGAAATGATCAATGCACATGAACATATAAAAAAAATACAGAATCACCGATTTGCACACAAAAAACAATGCATAACTGAAAGAGTAAATACCTAAAAACAACGAACGAAATCAATAGCCTTTGACCCGCTATCTAGCAAGAGAATGAGAAAGAAAATTTCAAAAAGCTCTCTTTGCCAGTTTCTGGACTTCCGCTGAGCCAACAGTTGCCGCCGGTAGAAAGACCACCGGGAAATTTCAAAAGACTTTTGGCTGAGTTTTACGAAGAAAGCCCATAAAGTATATCAAATGTCAAGTACATCCTTAATGTATTGTAATTAAGAGGACTTATGGTAAAAGTATCAAAAGGTGAACAAGTTTGATCCAAAGTTACTATGTCCGTCTAAAAGTAACGGTGAACCAAGCATGTGAATTGCACGTGCCTCATTTTATGGACAACTTATTTGTTTTTGATAAAGGGCGTGAATTAAAATGGTAGCTTAGATCAACATATTATTCTTGATATAGGCATGAACTAATATTTAAAGAAACCTCTAAAAAGTTATTTGTATATTTTAAAGCTAAATTTATTATATTTATGTGATAAAATAGATTTCAAAAATTTTCCCCTACATTTAATAATTATCTAAATTATCACAATGTTTGTAAATTAGAAATCATGTTTGTAAATTAGAAATCAAAATATCCCTGTTTTTCTAATACATCTTTTCCCCAACTAAAATCTAGTTAGCAAAAAATGATAGTAGTAGAAATTACATCAATAAGCAAATATATATTAATTAATTAGTTAGTATAGATTTATTCTGACTAATTTATAATAATTACGTATTGAGTTAGTAAAATTCGTCAATGTTAATTTTTTGTTTGGTTTGTATTTATATATATGAAGGTTTGTATTTATATATGACAATAATTTTCTTTGATCTTTTAATTTTATTATCGAATGCATTCAATCGTTTATGTATAACTTTTGAAAGTTGTATAAATGTTATTTTCAAAAATATATATAATATAATGTGTAGAATTTTCTATAATGTAATTTATACACTATAAGTTGTATACCTATTTAAAGTCCAGTCTTTTCAATTTATATAAATACGTTATTTCGAGTTTTATCATATTTGTATCATCCCAAAATTTGTATTACTCTGAAAAACATATCTATTTTTATATTTATAGTTGTACCCATATTTGTATAAATTTCATAGTTTTATATAATTATTTTAGTTGTATATTTCAGTATTTTACCTTTACAAAATATTTAAGTATAAAAGTTTACTAACAGAATTATACATACACAGATACAGACGAAAATAACTCAATTATATAAATATACACAAATTATTCGAACATATTCGTGAATTATACAAACGAATAAACTATAACTATAACTCATAAATATGCAAACTATATTTTAAGGGCCTAATTAAGTTTAGGAAAAATTATGCGAATAAACAAATTTAAACTGCTTAATTAGTCATCATAGTTATAGTTTGTTATAATTACCACATGCGACTGACATTAATCATTAGTTATGTGGACTGATTTTGAGTTTGTATAATTCACCACATTTGTATAATTCGCAATTAACAATTTTTGCTTGATTTATATTTGTATACGATGTTTTGTATTTGATATGATGATGATTTTCTTTGGTTATTCAATTTTATCACCATATACATTCAACTTTTTTTTTTGTATAACGTTTTAAAAGTTTGTACAATTGTGTAGTTTTCATATCTTTTATAATATAATGTAATTTGTATAACCGTTTAAAATTCATATCTATATGATTGTATCTATTCGTTATTTCGAATTTTTATCATATTTGTATAATGACAAACTTTTTATTGCTTAATTATACAAAAACACGTAAATTATACCAATGTACTCGCAAATTATACTAATGAGATTCGAGTTATAGAAATTATTGTCCCCTCTCACTCACCTCTTTCCTCCTTCCCCCAATTATCTCTCGACTCTCTTCTCCCTCTCCTAATCTCACTCGCCACAAATACATATGTATACCAGTTGCATATATACAATTATCTAACTAACTAACTACCTAACTATATATATATATATACAAACACACACAAAATTCACCTCTCTCCCACTCTATGCTATCTTTTCTTCCTATGATAAGTAGATACAAATTGTAAATAACAAACTATAGCTATATTAGCATAGTTAAGCTATGTTTGATTGGCTATATGTGAAAGTTTTCCTTCAAATTTTATTATAGCGGCTATTTATGAAATTCCTCAAAAGATGCCCACGACCCGACTCCAGCTACGGCCCATATGTCGTACCATTTATAAAGTAAACTACGATTAGGGTTTATTACGACAATTTCCGCCCTCTCAGAGTCTCAGTACCCCTTCAACTCTGCTGCCGCAGCTGAAACATCTTCCCGTGGAAGCGCCATGGTATCTCTCACCGATTTTCGTTTTCATGAGTGTTGATGCTTTATCATATGTATTCGCCTTTAACTTGAAATATGATTTTTGATTGTGCAATGAGAACAGGCTTCAGAGAAGAAATTGAGCAATCCCATGAGGGATATCAAGGTCCAGAAGCTTGTCCTCAATATCTCCGTCGGTGAGAGTGGAGATCGACTCACCAGAGCAGCGAAAGTCTTGGAGCAACTCAGCGGTCAATCCCCTGTTTTCTCTAAGGGTAACTTTTTGAATCTTCTAATTCTTTTCCATTTAAGTACATTAATTATGTGGTCTGGGAAATATTAGCTTTCTACCATGAACATTTATCTAATGTGTGAATTGACACTTATGTATACCTTCAAGCTGTTCCTTGTAATCCAGTGTCGAATCTTGGATATCTGTAACATGGGTGCACCACTAAAAAAACCAAAGAAAAAGAAATTGATCCCTAATCTACTAATTAAATATCTCAACCTTTAACCAAGTGCACCATTTGGTATCCTTCCTTGTAGCATGGTTACCTGTATATAATATATTAAATATCTTAACCTTTAACCAAGTGCACCATTTGATATCCTTCCTTGTAGCATGGTTACCTGTATATAATATATTAAATATCTCAACCTTTAACCATGTGCTCCATTTGGTATCCTTCCTCGTAGCATGGTTACCTGTGTATAATATTATTCAAGTTTTAGCAATATATACCTAAAATACTTAGTTTTATGGATGGAGAGAGACCAAAGGCTCACGTGCCTCAAATTTTGCCTATGGTGATTGTTTTACTTATTTTGTCTGCTAGTTTTTTTCTAGTTTATCATTGATTTTTAATCAGTTGAAGTTAAAATATCAGCCTGAATAGAATGTAAAGATGCAAAAATCATGTAGCCTAACCTTTTTTTTTTTGGGTTGCATTGGAGCCTAGCCGATTGCTTGATAATGGCGGTGTAAATGTTTAGTCATGGAATTAATCCATGCTTAATTTGATCTATATGCATTCAAGCTGTTTCTCGCAGTGTCAAATCTAGACTTTCTATAATATGGGCCCATGGAGATTTATCCCTAATCCTCTAGTTAAATAACTCAACCTTCAACTAAATGCACCTTAGTCTCCTTGTAGCATGGGTGCCCTGATGCAATATTATACGAATTTAGACAGTTTATACACAAAATGCCTAGTTTTACAGAGACACCACAGGTTCACTTGCTCAATTGTTGACTATAAATTTACCCCTAGTTCTTTTTAGTGTGATTGTTTAACGAATTGTGTCAGTTTTTTAGCTTGTCATTGATTTTTATCCATCACAGTTTAAATATCACCCTCAATAGAAAGGAAGGATGCAAAAATTCATTCAGCCTAACCCTTCTTTTTTGCCTTGGAGCCTAGTTGATTGCTTGATAATGGCAGTGTAAATGTCAAGTCATGGGATTAATCCATGGTTAATTCAATATGTATGCATGTTGATGAAGCTTCCTTTTGTAATTAATGAAGGTACTAGCTTATTTGGTTCATATTCTTGTATTATACTGGGTATATAATTTTTAGCTTTTAGACATGCTAATCTTTGTGGTAGATGTTGGTTGAAGTTGGTGTTTATCTCAATTCATTAGTGTTTATGAAAAACACGCCATTCACGAGTTCTGTGAACTAGTGTCCTGCTTTTGTTCATTCATTGATATGAGAAACCTAGCTGATGAAACTTTAAGTTATTTGTTTTGTAGTGTTTGTCTGTGGACATTTAACAGATGTTATATGTATCTCAGCTTACCCTCTTTAATTTTTTGATCTCTCATGTTATTGTTATGGTTCTCATTATCAGCAAGGTATACTGTGCGGTCCTTTGGAATCAGGCGTAATGAAAAGATAGCTTGCTATGTGACTGTCAGAGGGGAGAAAGCTATGCAGCTTCTTGAGAGTGGATTGAAAGTTAAGGAATACGAGTTGTTGAGAAGGAACTTCAGTGAGACCGGCTGCTTTGGGTTTGGTATTCAGGAGCACATTGATCTTGGAATTAAGTAAGCAGATAATCGTTTAGATGTCTTTCTGGTTTATAGCTTTCACGACTTAAATAATTAGCTATGTTGTATAGGAGGTAACCTGGATCTAGTCTTCCTTTCTTCTTACAAAAAAAAGAAAATCGCATTAGCTATTTCATTAATACCCATATAACTTGGACGTAGTTTAAGGAAACATGATTTACTTTTTTCATATTGTTTCTTGGATCTATCTTATGGTTGCCGTGTCTTACTATATTAACCTCGAAAGATTTGCATCTGCTATTTTGATATAAAATTTCAATCTATTAATGTCTGTCATCCTATGTTTTGTTAAAAAATTTCAGATATGATCCTTCAACTGGTATTTATGGAATGGATTTCTATGTTGTATTGGAGCGCCCTGGCTACCGTGTTGCCCGTCGTCGCAGGTGCAAGTCTCGAGTCGGGATTCAGCACAGGGTCACTAAGGAGGATTCAATGAAGTGGTTCCAGGTCAAATATGAAGGTGTTATCCTTAACAAGTCCTCAAACATTCAGTGATAAGCTGAGTGCCAACTTTTGGACCAGCTTGTCTCCTGGCAAGTTTATTTTTATGTATTTTTGTAGACAGCCATCGATATTACTATTAAAGGAATGTTTTGGAGAGATTCTAGTTGGCAAATTAGTATGTTTTACTTCTCATTTTGGCAATCAGATGAATTCAAATCTTTGTGATGGTAATTTTCAGTTTTTGCAATTTAAGTAGGAATTATTCAACTACACAATTGTGTTACTGCAATGCTTAAGCGTTTCAAGTAAATCAGGTTTGGGGCTGGATGTTTGGCATAGAATGCATACAAGTACATCATTGGTGTTTGCGTTTAGTCTCTCCTCTTTCTCTAAACATCTTGTCAATCTTATCATGCGCCATTACATGCATTATGCTTGAAATAGTTTGGATGTCTATCTCAATTGCACATAATGCGTAAAAGCAAATACTTTTATATTGTAGAATAATCAAGTATTTGAGATGACAAAAAATAAAGTTAGGAAATCAAATAAGTCGAGGGTTTTATACTCTCTCCGTTTTATTTTATGTGACAATATTTGGCCGGACGCAAAATTAAAAATATAATAAAGACTTTGAAATGCTTATCAAATTGTTCTTCAAAAAAGTAAATTCATTTTCTCTCTCCTCATAAATATATTAGAGTATTATGTTTAAAATTACGTCGGACCAACAAGAGTAAAAGATGAATTGTACCTAAAATACTTACCGTATAAGTAAATGTGACATTTTTTTTGAGACTGACCAAAATGAAAATAGTGTCACATAAAATAGGATGAGCGGAGTATACAAAATGATAGAAATATAATTATTTAATTTACTATTGGGTTATAGGTTAATTCGTTAAGAAAAAACTCCAAATCGTTAAGAACTAATAACCCAAGAACAAAAAAAATTGAAATCGTTATCAAAACCGCTAAACCAATAACCCGATACTGATAATTCAATTTTTTTTTGATTCGAATTATCGATTTCGATTCGATTTTGAACAACCTTACCTAGGATCTAAAACCATGATGCAGGGAAATATATATACTCTAGCCCAACTAGTCAACAATAAATAGCAACTTATTATCTCTAATAGAGGTCGTTTGGTAGAGTTATTATAAAATATAATGCATGCATTAAGTGTGTATTAGTAGTATTTTGATTGGTATTCTTTTTTTTAGTCATACACTATTGTGTATTAGGTTGTGTATTACTCATATCAATTAATTCAAGATATTTTATACATAACATTAAACACTTGCATTAGATTAAATAATTACAAAACTACCCTCAAAGCATTTTAATGCATTTACTTTTTTCTTTCTTTCTTGTCATATGTTTATTTTTATTTTTATTTGTTTTTCAATGTTTTTTTAATTTATTGGTATTTTAATAGACTTTATGGCTTCTCAAGTATCTTTTTTTTTTAAAAAAATAATAATAATCAAATTCCAACATAATTTAATTAATAAAATTACTATTATGGCAATATTTGATAAAAAAAAATCTTTGCCAATTTTTCACAAATTTTTTGACTCAAACAGTACAATTATTTAACATTATCTTTGAAAAGAACAAGAAGAGGAGCAGTTAATGATGTTTTAGCAAAAATTTTGTTGCAACGAAGTGTAAAATAAATAAAGTGTGAAGGGTATTTTGTAAATATATTTTTAAATAAAAATTATGTAAAATTTGTTATTTTTAATACATCAAATCAAATAGTGTATAAGAAATAATGCTTGCATAACTAATGCAAGCACTATTAATGCAAACATTACTAATGCACCCTATTTTTCATTATTCTTATACACTCTACCAAATGAGCGTATTCACAGACGACACAACCGTTGTAATACTTACACGTAGGATCCTATTAAAATGAGGAAACAATACAAATTCCTCCGTTAGATACATGTATTTTGAATACATGAGGTCAAATTATATTCAAACATGATCACATGTATGTATATATATGATGTACTAATACTTCAACCTCCTTTGTCCTCTCTTGCTCGCATCACTCCATATCTATATGTGTTTTAGAGTGGATCTACTATCAAAGAAACACATAACTAGTATCAATATTACACGTATCATCAAAGAGATCACTCCATATCTATATGTGTTTTAGAGTGGATCTACTATCAAAGAAACACATAACTAGTATCAATATTACACGTATCATCAAAGAGACATGTATGTAGTGTCATATACATATATCTAGTATCCACCCACAAGCTATAATTTAGTACTAGGAACTAAAAAATGTTTTTAAACGTTCCATTTTAGCAAATACTATTATTAATTTCCAAAGAAGTATCTTATTTCCAAATAATTAATAATTTTTTCCAAATAAGTATTTTTTTCTCTTTCAAATAAAGTAATTTTTATTTTCAAATAAGTATTTTTTTTTCTTTCAAAAAAGCATCTTTTTTTCCAAATAAGTTTTTTTTTTCCAAATAAGTATCTTTTTTTCAATCAAGGAATACCCTTCTCCTATATATATATGTATAGTGTTTAGTAGAGCAATGGCCATTAAAACTTATTGCTCCTCTTCTCATATTTCATTAAAATTCTATTCTATTCATATACAATGGCTTCTTCTTCTTCTCCACTTCCTTCTGATATAATTTTCAAAGATATTAAGTCGAACATCCTTGGAAACACTAGACACTTGCAAGGCTGTTAAAAAAGAATGACATGATATGATTTTTGAATCGAGTTTCATGCCACAATTTTGTGCAAATAGTAAAAGTATCTTGTCCAGGGCTCATTATTTGGCGAGCCTGCATGTATCAGAATTGGTTGTTCAGGGAATAGTATTTATGATGAAGATGTAAAGCCTCTAGCCTACTCCTTAGTGATGAGCAGTCTGGCCTCCACAATGCACGCAAGGGATTCTAATTCTATGTTAGTGTAATTACGAAGTCTACATTTCATATCACTAAGCAATGGGGTGAAACTTATTCCTAATCCAAGAATGCGTAATTGCTTCACCCAAAAGGTTGCTCTCATTGTGCTGACATGCATTTCAAGATTATATGGTTTATAGTAAACTGGGGCTGATCACTCACTATCGATGTGAGATTTTTGATTCAGAATATTGGGAATGGACGCAAGGAAAAGATTTTTTTTCATCAAAGTTGTTTTGAGAGTTAGCATGGTGAATTTAACATATAATAAAACACAACTAAATCAATTACCTCACAGATGATCGAGTAATAATAAAAACTCTATGAAACAACCCAGAAATTTGCTCTACGCAACATATAGTTGTAGTTGTGTAAAAGTAAAATAAGCTAAACAATTCTGCTCGAGAACGTAGAATAATATAAACTCAACATAGAAAGTTGGAGGGATATATATACAAAATACTAAACCCAATCAGGTCCCAAGTTGGAAACTTACGAGAAAGGGACTCAGTAACTGAGCTTGATAACACGAGAAACCCTCTGGAAGAAAAGTGGACACATATTCGGGCTGAACATGATTGTATCCCTCATCCATTCAGGGGCCACTCTCTCAAAAGTCCCCAGTGACAATACGCGGTACACTAATTCAGGTTCTGCAGATGCATTCTTTGTCAACGTCAGACTAAAAGATAATCCTGCACAAACCAAGACAATCTACATTCAGATTGTAAGTTCCAAAAGTTGCTCTAATCAATAAACGAAATTAAACTTGGAGTGATGAAAAGAAGAAAAATGACAGCACCACAGAGTTCAATCACTTCCTCCATGCATCAAACTAGTGTAATGAGGCAAGTTTATATTGTCTCCGCAAAACAAACATATGGACATCGTTTCCTTGTCAGTATGTGTGAACTTAATACAGCCAAAGACCATAAAGCATACTATATGACCATAAGAAATTGTGGAAACATAGTTAGTCCAGCTAGATGATCAATTAGACTTGTCGGTAATTCACACCATTAATTTATCCTAAGCCTTTCTAGCTCTCTCTGTGTGAGGGTATCGCAACACATATATATTAAAGAGCAACTATCACAATGCTCTACTTTAAACTGGAAATGAAAGAACAAAGGAAAAATTGAAAATTCTGATTCATCTGAATGAAGTTCAACATTATAGAGCTGCCTTATAAGTGATTCCTTCCTAATTTAGTAATTTCCATAAATTAACAACATTCTGTTCATTCAGTGGCGAAAACGACCAAGTTCTCTTGAGTGGCAAATTTTATCAATGTTTAAGGTTGAATTTTTTACTTGAATTCTTCAAAATTTAGAAAATAATAGTAGTAAACACAAACTAGAATACTACTATTGAATGAAAAAGTTCTAGCGACAAAACAATATGATCTAAAAATAATTTGATGGTCAAATTAGGGGTCATATACGTTATTCCATCATGCATATGGGATAAATTATCCAATCACTAAGGTATAAACTATAAAGTGTGGGATAAATAGTCCCAGCACTGCATTTACTTCCAATCAAACGCAGGATAAAATAGTTCTGCATTTTATCCCTAGGATTATTATTCCTTATACTTCATACCAAACAACTCCTTAAATTTAACAAAAGATAGTTAACTTGAAGATGTAGATACAGTTGAGTGCACTGTAGTAGAATATATATAATAAGAAAAGTGAGAATCATTTAGTAGCTAAATTTACACCATTAAAAATATAGAAGTTGACCACTCAAACAACCCTGCTTGGTTTTTATACAGCTGTTGTCGGTAAAATCACAGAAATGAAACTTAGGTAAATCAAACCATTTAGGTTTCTGATTATAAGCGAGCACCATTTCAAGTTTCAGCGACTAACTTCTCTTAATTGAGGATGTTTTTCTGATTATCTCTCGACTCCCACAAGACAAATTAAGATTAATATCAGCCGCATATTGTAATGACTTAGATCCCAGAATTAAGTTCATACAAACTTTTAGATTTCAGTTTAATTGGACATACAGCAAACTAGTTATTATTAGGTCAAAATTATAATTTAAAAAACAAATAAACTATAAGTTCAACCAAATAAAACTCAAGTCATCAAATAAGGCACATTTTCTAAGACTATTGAAACTTGAACGACGCCTCCGTAAATTTCAAAGATTTTTTAACAAGTATTATCACATAGTAGAAAATAGAAGTGGAAAGAAAGAAAAAGGACCAAAATTGAAGCAAGATACAGGATAACAAAGTTTCTCCAGAAATTACCGCTCGACTCATGAAAAGCTGATATGCATAATTCTTCATTTTCTGTAACAGCAAAAAATTTCATACCGACTAACCACTGAACAAGGTCTTGGAAGATGCACAAGGCTGGAGATATGTCAGCAGCACTATCACCTAAAATATCCCATCAAAGGAATAGTTACATAAGAGGAGACGACACATACTAAAATTAACAACTAAAGTTGGGATAAACCTGAAATGTCAACATTTCTTCTACAGCAAGCAGGCTGCAAAATATTGCCTGATGGTCAGAATAGTAAAATCCCAGCTCAAGTTTGCTGGATAAACTAGCATATGTGATAGAAATTGGAGAGTAGCACTGACCTTGGTGTACTTATATGAACTCGTACTTGGTTGTTCAGGTCTATTTGGAAGTTCTTCCATGGGAGACGGTGTATGTGTGTCTTGTACAATGAGCAAAGACTGCCTAAAGTGTTTCTTGTTTGTTATGGTTGAGTCATCCAATGCATCTGGAAGAAAATCTCCATCAGTAATAATTTGTCTGCTTTTTCCTTTATCATTGCTAGCGTTGAAACAGGTCCCCTGCTGATCATGTTGTTGAAGCCTCTGAATTTCATCACGGAGTTCCGTATCTGCAGGCAATATTTATATAACTATTTGGATTTCAAAATTGGAATACTTATTCAACAAAATGCAAATATAAATCTCCAAAAAAGTCAAAAGTAAACAGCAAACAGCAAAGCCATTATAAGAAGCACTAAAATCCCCAGAGGAACAAAATGAATAGTTGCCTTCATAGAGCAATTAGCAAATCCCTATAGCAATAAAATATTAGCAAAAATTTCAATTCAAAAACTGAAAAAGGAAAGTACTTACTATAAGTCTAGAACTTGAATGAGAATAAAATAGAACAAAAGTCAAAATAGACAGGAAAAAACAGAGGTAGAAGTAACTCTGAAGTCTGAAGAGGAAAAAGAAACAGAGTAAGAAGAAATTTGAAGAAGAACTATGTATTGTTTGGACTTTGGAGTCGTCGGAGAAGTCTAGTCGAGTAGAGGGGTTCGAGTCGCAGACGCAGTATAAGAGTGCAACTGTGCAAATTTGAAAAGAAAGCCCTAAAGTTACCTTTTAACTTTTAGAACTCTAAATTGGTCGCCTATATTAAGAAAATATAAAAGCCGACACCTTTCTCGCCTTTGTCATCATGGCGTCGCCTTGCTACAAAGCTAATAAGCGATGAAGGATCACCTCACCTTGCCTCTCGCCATTGTGACAAGGCAATCGCCTTTCACAACACTGTAGAAGACACAGATGGAGCATCTAGTTTTGTAGAAGGTAGACAGATAAAGGCATAAAATAAAAAAGAATGTTATGAAGAAATAAACCCCATCTGACGTCAACCAATTGCTAAGACTGTCAAACAAGCATTGAAGCTGAACATCTCTTTCTAAATGGACATACAGAAATCACATCAAGTCCTAAATGGATTGAAATTCAAACGTGTTTGAACTAAAGAGACCTCTCTTAGAAATTTTATGCTTCAATAAGAGTAACAAGAAATTGAACCTCTGAAGTCACTGGTATTTTCTACAACTTGCATATACGTAGACTTAACCACAAATCCAATATTTTAAAAGCAATACTAACTTGCCTAGCTGTCTAGCAGAAAATATAGATAGGACTATAGACATTATAAGTGTTCTACCATGACTTGAAATTTATCCTTACTCTTCAGGTTCTCTTCCATCAAAAGCTTTTGGTATCGAATCATTTCTTCATCATTGGCAGACCTGCAGCAGAGTTAAGTACACATTATATTCTTTTCATTATTCCTACTGAATAGAGTAAGCCTTTCTCATGAGTGCAGACCTCATTGATGTCATTTCACTCCTCAACTCATTTACTTGTTCCTTTAGTCTGTCCGTTTCACTTCTCAAGTGGTCAATCACTGCATCGGCAGCTGGAAGAAACAAAGCTGCATGTCAAACCTTCAACCAAGTTTGTATCTAATGTAATTAAAAATAGCACCTATGAGTTCTCCAAGTTAAGATATCATCTGGAAATACAATTTCATACTTTCAACAGAGACTCGAATGTATAGGATGTGTAAGAAGATGACAAATACAAACTTTAAATTGGCAAAACGTAATAGCTACAAAATAAAAAGGGAAAATTCCATAATAATTAGATAAAAATTAAGGTAAGCTTTCAAATATAATCCTACCAGCCACATAATTCACAAATTTCTCCTCTTGTTCCCGATTCAGGTTCTCCATGCTAGTGTCTTTTTCTTTCTACGAAAAAAAAAAAAGAATGAATGAATGAAAAATCTTACTCTTGCAAACCACTAACTATAAACAGAAAAACACATTAAGTTCCCACCTAGCTCAGCTCAAAAATTAAATTTAAAAAATGAACTCGTACAAACCCCTATATACCTTGAGCTTAGCGTACTTGCTGTAGAGCTTAGAATAAAGCGCCTCCATCTGAAACAAAAAAAAAATTAAAACCCGTCGAAACAACCATATTAGTTATGGAAATTGCTCCGGTTAACCCTAACATTCAGATTTGAAGATTTATCAGTGAAAAAAACATGTAAAGCTGAATTCAGGAACTATACCTTGGGTAAAGAAGCCGACATCGGAAAACTGGGGAATGGAAATGCCGGCGGCGTTGTTCAATTCAGTTTCTCAAAATGAAGAATTTGAATGACAAGCTTTGGCGGGAGATATGGAAAATTCCCAATATGGAGAATGAGTTCTTTCTTTTTTAGTTTGGGAACCTAAATCTAAAGCAGCTTTCCGTTTGGGCCTCGGGTCGGGTTGATCCGGCTTATTTTGGATTCTTCTGCAAATTGATTTTTCATCTTATATTTTACTTCTTTGTAACATTCATATAATAGTGCACCCTTTGCAAAATTTACCCTTCTATAACACTCATACTCAAATACTGTATAACAATATTTTGTAAGAAATATATTATGTGATAAAAAGATTAAATAAAAGTGTTGATTAACAAATATTTTGTTAGAAATATATTATATAGAAACTGTATATTTTGTAACAAATTACTTAACGCCCTTTATTGAGAGTTTGGACAAAAATATTCGTCAATTCAAACTGTATATTGTCACTAGATAGATTAGAATTTACAAAACAAACTTACATTAGGGGTATACATGGACCAAATTGATTTCAGACCATTTGTATCGAATTTTAAAATTTGTAAATCAAATTAATAGAAGTCAAAATTTCCAATCTCGATTTTTTTCTCTCCAGATTTTTTAACTTCTGCGAGTTTTAGGGGACTAGAATACTAGCTCAAATTTCTTTATTAGCTTGCATCATGATACCATTCTAAATCCACCTCTGTCGAAACAAATATATAACCATGAATTCACAAGTTCAAAATAATATAATCTCATTACTATTATAGGAATAAACTTTTTATAAAGTTGAAGCCAAAACAATAAATTTGATCAATTGAATTCTTACTTTCTCAGCATGGGAGAGGAGTGGTTGACTCTTCACAAGTAAGCAAAACCAGGCTATATTTATTTAAGACATTGCTCATAGTACTAAGCATTTGGATTCTTGCTATATCTGTCTAGCACTATATATTGTCCATGTGCTTTTGACATTTATTTGCATGGCTCTGGCACCTCTACTTTTCCATAAAGCTTCAACTATAATGGCCAGGAGAAAAGTTCAATAGAAGTATAGGTCAAATATTCACATGCATCTCAAATGTGATACATGTTAGATATATAGTCATTATACATATACTTTTCCTTAAAGCTTCAATTATAATGGCCAGAGAAAAAGTTTAATACAAGTATAGGTCTCATATTCACATGCATCTCAAATGTGATACATGTTAGATATATGGTCATTATACATATTCAATGATTTAACTTCAATCCTTGCTACTAATACTCCTTCTACTCACTTTCACATATTCACTTTGAATATGACACGTATCTTATTAAACTAGTGAAATACTGATTGATATATATTAGCATTTCATCACAACATTCATATTAATAATTAATGTTTAAGTCTCATGTCTTCGAGAAATAATTTGAAGAATAAGGATGTCGAGGTAAAATATTTTTTAAAAGTTATAAATTTTTTGATGTGGTAAAAGTAAAAGGTAAAAATAAATAAATATTTTTTGTGAAGTACTGAATTAGATAATATAAAGTAAACATAGAGAGTACACGCTACAATCAGAAAGGATTATATAAAAAAAATTACACTCCTTTTCCATTTTATATAACATGATTTATATAGCAAGGGATATTCAAAACAATTAAAACTTGTGTCAATCCAAATATAAATCTACAATCTTTGGGTACAATTTACATATTTAAAAGCTAAAAAAATATTTTTAATAGCTATGAAACGAGCTAAAAACTACATGTATTTTGATGGATGGAGTATAGTTTAAACATGAAAGAACAAAAAAAAGAAGTATAGATAGAAAATAAAAAAAACTGCACCAACCAACGTATTAGCAACTATAGTTTATAAGCCGATCAACAGATTAGTGAGTAATCATTCATTTTTAATTAGAATTTTAAGTTTGAATCTTACTGAATATATAATCAATCGTCTTATTAAAAGAAAAACACTTGATTAAGAGTGTGTTTGGTATGAAGAAAAATATTTTTTGAAAAATGTTTTCCAATTTTTTCACGTTTGGTTGGGACAAAAGTTTTAGAAAATGTTTTCCAAATTACTCATTTTCTTCAAAATTAAGGAAAATGACTTCCCTTAAAAAATCAAGGAAAATATTTTCCAAAATTCTCATACATTTTTTTTGGAGAAAACAACAATTTTTTTAAAAAATTCAATTTTAAAATTTTATTTTTTTACTCTATTACTGACCCCACCCACCCACCACCGCTCAGCCACCCCCCTCCCCAAAAAAATAATTTTGCTCTTTAAAAATATTTTCAACTTCAAATTTTTATTTTTAAACTCCTACCACCCTTTTCCCCCGGCCAGCCCCCCACCCACCCCAACCCCCAAAAAATTAATTTTGTTTTTTAAAATTACTATAAAGTCAAATTTTATTTTTTTTAACTCCTACCCCCTCCCCCTGCCCCTGCCCCAACCATCCCAAATAAAAATTGTTTTTAAAAAATATCTTCAATTTCATAAATTATTTTCTACTCTAGTAAATAAAAGATGTCTCTCAAAAGCATTTTTCATTTATAAATCAAACACTAAAAATTATTTTCAGAAAATATTTTCTACTCACCAACCAAACATGAGAAAATAAATCCAAAATCTACTTGTTTTTCAGAAAAACATTTTCTAGGAAAGCATTTTCCTTTCATACCAAACACACCCTAGGTCTCAAAATAAAATTATTTGACAATAATTTAATTTAGTTGGACTTCAAAATTAACAGAGATTACAATTGACAAGCCAAACCTCGGAAATTAGATGATATATTGACAAATTATTGATTCTGTGCACACTATTTCAACAATCAAAATAAGAGGTGTCCAATCTCATTCATTCATGTTTTTAAAATTTTAAATATAAAATCATAGTCACATACCCCACTTAGCTTTGTCAAAAAGCGTTTAAGTATGGGAACAAAGCAAAAATACGAAGTAAAATGAGACACAACTTTATAGATAGTATTATATTTTATTATTTATCAACTTTTTATCTCTTTCCTATTGGACTTTGTTGTCATGATCTATAACACTTTCAATACCAACTTGCCCCCACCATACTCTTTTTCCCATTACCAAACCAACAATGTATAACATTTTTCAATATCAGTATCATTAAATTTCTGCAACTTTACTAAATATAAAGATTATAAAATAGTGATATCTTGCCTTGTAGGTCAAAAAACCTATTTTTATTGACATGGGCTGTGCAGTTTCTGTCATTGTTTTACTGTTAAGCCAATTACCAATGCATGCGTTAAAAGATTCTGCTACACTCTCTAGTACCACTACTACTTCCTTGCTGAAAACGACTGTACAAGTTACCCAACAGTAAGAAGAATAAAGCTGTAAAACTATTTGTCATTATCATTCCCGAGCGAGATTTTACTAGTATGTTATTATAGCTATTTTCGGGAACTGCAAAATATTAAAGTTAAAAAGACTTTGGTTTGGGTATGCATGAAGTTGAATGATTGTAATGGCTAGATTGAATTGCTAAATCTCATGCTGCATAGGCATTATGTTCTCCATAATGTTTGGGACTTCCAAACTGCTTTAGAGGTTCAAATTACAAAGAAAACAAATTCTTATCGAAATTACCAAATTTGATCGTTAAAGATGATTTTTCAAATTCTCGAAATTGATGAATTTTATCTTTTTCCTAATGACATGTTTTCTTCTATTACTGCTGCTATTACTAGGAGTGTTGGGAAAAAGTAAAGTGACAAATCTCGTCCATAGAAATTAGAAGCAAAAGTGGTGAATTCAGTGTTTGAACAATCCAGCAAAACTTTAATCAATCACTTTACTGTAGATTCTAGACACAAAAGATGAAATTTGGAACTAATTTTTTGCTTCAACCTTACACACATAATTAAATTAGAGAAATACAAAGTGAACTTTTTAGATTAAAGTCATTCATGAAATTTCAAATTTACGATCATTGTTCATGCTAATTTGCCGTAACATTGGAAAAATTACGGAATTAAGCTGTGAAATGGATATACTTTGCCACAAAATCAGAGAGAATTTAATAAGTTTTAACTCCTAATATATGATTGTACTACTCGTATTTATTTTATCTCTAATTAATCAGGTACAATATACCTAGTAAATTGGTAATTTACTCGGGTATGCTCACAAGTACAGGCCGCCAAGCCCTCCGCAGTAGCCGTTGCCGGAATGTCGCTGATAACGGCCGAAGCGAGCGTAAGCCTATTCGCCGAACAGCTGATCCTGAACTAAACCCGCCGCCGGCACCAGAGGCTGCCGGCGAGAGTCCTTGTCTCGTATTTTCAGCAAACGACGGAGGCGACGAAACAAACAAGTCCTTCAGCTTATGACTGACCACCAGTTCCTTCCCCTTCTCCGTCGAATCGCGATCTCCAACAAACCGATCCGGCGAACAGACTTCCCGTCGAGGCAGCCTACGGCCACTTCCGCCGCCGATGCTACGACTGAGGAGCATACGGAGAGTCTTCCGTCGGCGGAGGTGAATAACTGGGCTTGTTGTTGGACTCCGGGTTGGACTTCCTGCTACTGCACATTGAGTTGCGAGAAGCTTGAATTTCTGCAAAGTAGCCATTTTCGTTGCGATCTGAGGTACGTATTTCGACAAATTTTAACTATTGTTTTTTTGGTTAGCAAAAATGGTAGTGAAGATGGGGGGAATTGGGAAGGATTTAGTACGGCCGAATAATATGGACCGTCTGTTTGGGTCTTTTAAGGCTTTGCTTTGTTTATCCTCCCCACTTATAAGCCTGCCGCGGTATAACGCTGAAACCGAAACGTGGCCTCTTTTCCCAAGTTCGGCATCACTCTTCATTTGTGGGTCCACTTTTTCTTTTTTTATTAACCATTTTTGAATTTAACCCCTCTCTCTCTATAAATTTGTAATAAGTAAATTTTTACACAATTTTTTTAGTGTTAAAAAAAAACTAATTACATCCCATTCATACCTTTCTAAAAATTACACAAAAAAAATAAATAAAAATTGATAGAATTTGGATACATCCATCTCAAAAGTGTTTGATATATAGTATTTTAATTTTGAATACATTGTGCACATTGTGATAAATCGTCTATAGTGATATATTCGATTAATACATCACATAAAGTGATATAATACGTTTCGGTACATCACATATAGTGATGAATTACGTCTGATACATTGTGTATAGTGATGTACTCGAAAGTGATGTATTCAATCAATACATCGCGCAAAGTGATGTAATCGAAAATATGAGAGAATAAGATTTTTTCTAATTTTTTTAAATGATAGAAATTTTTAGAGAATATGATAAAATAAGTTACGTATTTAGGTAATTTTTCTATCGCTAATACATATTGATAATGTAAAATGAGTATACCGTAAGACAGTGGCGGAGTCAGAAATTTCTTCAAGAGTGTCCAGAAATAACAAATTGTTATGTTAAGGATGTTCAAAATAAGTTATTTAATCATTTCGTATATCATTTTACTTGTATATATATATGCTAATTTTTTTTCGACGAATTGGACACCCCGGCTACGCCACTGTTGTAAGAAGTTTTAAAACTATATTGTAGTATAAGAATTTTATTTAGTAAGAATAAATGGTCACTTGTATATTCCCTAACTTTCAATTCCATATTCTATGTATGTAAATATTGGTTGAACTTGTTCGTGCATATTTATCCAAGTTTGGGACCATTATAATTCCTATGTGCAATAGTGTATATACATTGACTGGACCCGTTCAGTCTCCCTTATCAATGATAGATGAAAGGACCACTCTCCATTCTTTAATTTCAAAGATACGTTAATTAGTTACCACTGAAAAATAAAAAAAAAATTCGTATGAATAGTTAATGAATTAAATTTTTTATATTATATTTATGTTTAGATTTGAAAAAAATCTCACATACGAGTTTAATTATGAATTGCAAAAAGTAATTAATTTTTTTGTTACATTTTATTTATTGGGAATAGATGATTCAACCATGTTATTGTGTCTTTGAGATGAAGATTTAAAGTTTTGGATTTTGAATATTTAAAAGTTATGTAAATAATTGCATGCGTATATATGTGGAGTAGTTGTCCATCAACGGAAGAAAATAGGATGATGACTATCTCATTATTCGGCGTTAACGCTATTGTCACCAGTGTCCCAACTTACATTATCACAGTTGTCGTTTCCCCACTAATTTCTTATCATTTCTCATGTTTGTTGTGTTTAATTTAAGTAATTTGTTTTGCCTTTGAAATGTATCAAAAAATAAAATTAAAAAAATCGCCGACTTTACCATATTTCTCAATTTGAGTACGTTTAAATATCTTTTTGTTATTAGTTCAGTTTATGGATAAAAGTATCTCAAATAACCCCATCAGCAACCAAACTAAGAAAGTAAAGTGTAGGTTTTTTCTTTTCTCTCAGTCGAATAAATTAGAGAAGAGAAGTATTAAAATATCTTGGAATTTGAGATAAATTGTTTATTTTATTTTTAAATTATTAATGGTTTTAAAATTATTTTTTTACTTGACTAATTAAATTTAGATATACTTACGATTTGTTACATGACATAGCCAGTGGTCTCAAAATATAATCTTGTAAGAAGTATGAAATTATTCATGAAAAATCAAGAAAAGTGTTGAAAATACACTCTTAAATTCATGCCAAGTTTAAGGGTATTTTAAATTAGAGCAATGTGATATTTGCATTAATTGTAGGAAAAAGGACAAATATATTTTTCGTCATACTTTTGAGATATTGGTGTCTCTGTCATTTACTAAATAGGGACACATGTCACAATCTTATCCGTTAATGAAAAAATTGTGAAACACATTTATTCGTTAGAACAAAATGTATATATGCTTTACTTTTTAGACGACAAGAAAATCATCGCTCCATAAATATGAAAGTAGGTGGAAACCGGAAAGCAAGTCAAGGCAGACGGCAATAGACATTCTGGGGTTAAAATTGCTTCCATTTTCTTTTGTTTGTTATTTTTCCTTGACCTGGAAAAAGTTGAAACATTCAATTCTATGATCAGCAAGTAACAAGCCAACAGGTATTGAGCTCACCTACTTTGCAGCAAATTCCCACAATTATAACTGATGAATGACATTCTAGGTTATACAGCTTCCAAATCGAAATTTAAAAGTTCATCAATTTTCTAAAAGTTCTCCTCTGAAATGACATAAAATAATTAAGCATACTATTTCGGCCGGCTAGGAGGCCAGGAAGTCCTAGAATTTAGAAACAATTTCTTTCAGCAATAAATGCAAAGGTATGGTTGTATACGATAGATCAATCAATGTGGTCCTACAGGTGTACTCTCAAATTGAAATTTATGAGTTTTTATAACGATCTCATGTTAATATACAGTGGTTACTGAATTATCAAATAAAAATTTATTTATATTTAGTGATTTTTTTTAGGAAAAACTAATGAATTCACCTGAACTTCACAATTATAATAGATCAATCAATAGGTATGGTGTTCCCATGAATTGGAGTTTTGTTCCTTTTTTCTCTTTACAATTTAATATCAGAGTATGTTCCTTTATATGATTAGTCAAAACCTAGCACTCCAAGCTATGAATAGGCTCAGAATGAGTTCTGCTGCTGTGCATTTGTTTTTGTTACATATGATTTTCATGTCCTCAGCATAAATGAACTTTAAGGTAGAAGAAGGTCCATAAAGAAACAAAACCTGGTATACAAAAGAGCAGAGATGCATATGTATACTAGAATGTTGGCAGCCCTATTCACTATTTTTATACATTGCCTTATGCGAAAAGCAGTTTTAGATAATCTCCCACAGAAAATATTGACGATAGCAACATAACTATATGTAAGCAAAAATAAGAAATAAATTATCTATGGAAGACGCGAGATACTGATCACAAGTGCCATAATAGTAGTTGCTTCCTCACCTTGCATCGAATTCAACCGACCTGAAAAACATATTTCATCCACTAGAATGTGGTGTGGAGCTGTCAACTCATTTGTCAGCGGCAACTGAATCCGGAGAAGAAAGGGAGTCCTTTAGGAGCCCAGCATCATCTACCACAATATCCAGTACCTCAGCATTGTGTGCTTTCGACTCTCCATTCTGGATGCCTCTCAATGTCTCCAGCACTTCTTGCATTGAAGGTCTCAGATCTCTCTCTTGTTGCAGACATCGGAAAGCTAACTCTGCGACTAATGTAGTCATCCTCCTCACGGAGCTGTTTGTTGAGAATCCAAGAGTTGGATCAACTAATTCATGAATTGAATGACCTTGGATCTTGTTGACAGCCATATTAGACAAATTAATATCATGGCGGTGCCTGTTGGTATCCACAGCTTCTAATGATGAGATCAGCTCTACCAACACCACCCCAAAACTATAGACATCACTCTTTTCAGTGAGCTGGTAACATTGGTAGTATTCAGGATCAACGTAGCCTGGTGTACCCTGTGGAGCAGTAGAGACATGTGTGACATTATTTGGGAACAGTCTTGATAGCCCAAAATCAGCAACTTTCACATGGAAATCGTTGTCTAACAGAATGTTGTTGGTTTTGACGTCACGGTGTATTATAATTGAGGAGTGGAGATAAGCCAGGGCTTCAGCAGTCTCAATGGCTATGTTCATTCGGACAGGCCAAGAGAGTAAGCCAGATTTGGCCCGTTTACCATGTAGATGATCTGCCACTGTCCCATTTGGTATATACTCATAAACTAGGAGTAAATCTCGGCTTCGTTTAGATGTACACCCATACAACGTCACTAGGTTCTTGTGGCGTAGCTGAGTTAAAATCTCTACTTCATTCATGAACTGCTCCACACGCTTGAAATTGTTCTCATACAAGCGCTTGACTGCAACCACGCGACCATCATGGAGCTTGCCTGATAACAAATTACTTGGAATTGTTAGGAAGCTCTCTCACCAAATAATAATAATGCAAGAAAGAGAACACACATACCGTAGTACACGACACCAAAACCACCATCCCCAAGCTCTTTAGATGGATCAAAATTATTCGTCGCTTCTTCAAGTTCAGCAAAACTGAAGACATGAGCCCCAAAGTAGGAGCTTCCCCTCCCGTAATCAGCTTCAGATTTGGAAGATGGATAAGAGGGAATGCTTCTGGTGAAAGTGGTAGAAGAAGGAGTAGAAGAGGAACTCAGGCCGTTGCTTGAACTCAAAATTGGAAGATCCTTGCTTTCGGTTTGGACAGGTGAAGCCTGTGATGCAATCCGCTTTCTCTTTTGTCTGCAGAAGAAGACTAGCCACCCAACACCAATGCCGGCAAGTACAGCACCTCCTACGCCAAGGCCTGCAATCGAAAGAAGAAAGTTTACAATCTTCTCAAGGCATTGACTGTCAATTGAGTTGTACTAGTATAAAGTTAGAACGAAGACAATACCTACTGCAAGTGGCGTATGATTTTTCTTTCCAGTATCTGCAAAACAGTCATAATGTCGTCAATTAAGTGGTAACTACAATTGATGATCAGGTAAACATAAGGTAAATCCGTCTGGAATTAGGAGAAACTAACAGAACTCATGTGGCGAGATCACATTGATGTATTCGCTAACAAGTACAAACTAAAAGAAAGAAGCATACTGTAACAAGAATTCCTAGGGATACCTGAAGAGAACATAGCATGGAAATCTAAAAACTAACATGAAGATTCTAGTAAATCACATTAAGTTACACTTCATTTCAAGTTCACTTTTGTGTTAGCAAGTCGCACAGTGCTTTTTGGGTATCCCC